AAGCCTATTGCTTGTGCGCAGTGATTGGGACATCGGCTATAAGCCAAGTATACATCAGTTTATATAGTATCTCTGAGCGCATATCATACGGTATAGCAATACGGTCTTTCTAGGACCGAATATTATAGCAATATGGTCTTTCTAGGACCGAACATTGGCGCCGTCTGTGGGAAACGGAAAATTTCGACTCCCATCCATGGTGAACATGCGCGACATAGCACGAAGCCACAGATTGCAGGCGACCTCGCGCGCCATGAAATTGCTGAAACCACATACATATGAGGAGACAAATCCTACCGCAAAAAAGGCTTTTGATCCTCCGAGAGACTCTAGAATGGAGCTCAAGATCCAAGCAGATGACGATTTGACAAAGATTCTCGTCGTCGCGAGCAAGTGAAGACCTAGAGGTCATTAAATCATAAGGAAAAAGCTCCAACTCAGCCCAATGAAGGGCATCAAATTTATTAGCTCGGCCTCGGTCTTAAGCTCAGCTCAACGAAGGGCTTCAACTTTAATAGCTCGGCCTCGGCCTTGAGCTCCAACTCAGCCCCATGAAGGGCTTCAAATTTAATAGTTCGGCCTCGACCTTGAGCTCCAACTCAGCCCAATGAAGGCTTCAAATTTAAAAGCTCGGCATCAGCCTTGAGCTAAGCCCAACAAAGGGCTTCAAGATTAAAGCTCGGCATCAGCCTTGAGCTAAGCCCAACAAAGGGCTTCAAGATTAAAGCTCGGCATCAGCCTTGAGCTAAGCCCAACAAAGGGCTTTAAGTTTAAAAGCTCGGCATCAGCCTCGAGCTCAGCCCAGTGAAGGGCTTCAACTTTAATAGCTCGGCCACGGCCTTGAGCTCCAACTCAGCCCAATGAAGGACTTCAAATTTAATAGCTCGGCCTCAGCCTTGAGCTCCAACTCAGCGCACTGAAGAGCTCCAACTTTAATAACTCGGCCTCGGCCTTGAGCTCCAACTCAGCCCAATGAAGGCTTCAAATTTAATAGCTCGGCATTGAGCTCAGCCCAACGAAGGGCTTCAACTTTAATAGCTCGGCCTCAGCCTTGAGCTCCAACTCAGCCCAATGAAGGCATCAAATTTAATAGCTTGGCCTCGGCCTTGAGCTTAGCCCAACAAAGGGCTTCAAGTTTAAAAGCTCGGCATCAGCCTTGAGCTAAGCCCAACAAAGGGCTTCAAGATTAAAAGCTCGGCATCAGCCTTGAGCTAAGCCCAACAAAGGGCTTCAAGTTTAAAAGCTCGGCATCAGCCTCGAGCTCAGCCAAGTGAAGGGCTTCAACTTTAATAGCTCGGCCTCAGCCTTGAGCTCCAACTCAGCCCAATGAAGGGTTTCAAATTTAATAGCTCGGCCTCAGCCTTGAGCTCCAACTCAGCCCAGTGAAGGGCTCCAACTTTAATAGCTCGGTCTCGGCCTCGAGCTCCAACTCAGCCCAATGAAGGCTTCAAATTTAATAGCTCGGCCTCGGCCTTGAGCTCAACCCAACGAAGGGCTTCAACTTTAATAGCTCGGCCTCAGCCTTGAGCTCCAACTCAGCCCAAATGAAGGCTTCAAATTTAATAGCTCGACCTCGGCCTTGAGCTCAGCCCAACAAAGGGCTTCAAGTTTAAAAGCTCGGCATCAGCCTCGAGCTCAGCCCAGTGAAGGGCTTCAACTTTAATAGCTCGGCCTCGGCCTTGAGCTCCAACTCAGCCCAATGAAGGCTTCAAATTTAATAGCTCGGCCTCGGCCTTGAGCTCAGCCCAACAAAGGGCTTCAAGTTTAAAAGCTCGGCATCAGCCTTGAGCTAAGCCCAACAAAGGGCTTAAAGTTTAAAAGCTCGGCATCAGCCTCAAGCTCAGCCCAGTGAAGGGCTCCAACTTTAATAGCTCGGCATCGGCCTTGAGCTCCAACTCAGCCCCATGAAGGCTTCAAATTTAATAGCTCGGCCTCGGCCTTGAGCTCAGTCCAACAAAAGGCTTCAAGTTTAAAAGCTCGGCATCAGCCTCGAGCTCAGCCCAGTGAAGGGCTTCAACTTTAATAGCTCGGCCTTGAGCTCCAACTCAGCCCAATGAAGGGCTTCAAATTTAATAGCTCGGCCTCAGCCTTGAGCTCCAACTCAGCCCAATGAAGGCTTCAAATTTAATAGCTCGGCCTCGGCCTTGAGCTCAGCCCAACGAAGGGCTTCAAGTTTAATAGCTCGGCCTCAGCCTTGAGCTCCAACTCAGCCCAATGAAGGCTTCAAATTTAATAGCTCGGCCTTTGCCTTGAGCTCAGCCCAACAAAGGGCTTCGAGTTTAAAAGCTCGGCATCGGCCTTGAGCTAAGCCCAACAAAGGGCTTCAAGTTTAAAAGTTCGGCATCATCCTCGAGCTCAGCCCAGTGAAGGGCTTCAACTTTAATAGCTCGGCCTCAGTCTTGAGCTCCAACTCAGCCCAATCAAGGGCTTCAAATTTAATAGCTCGGCCTCAGCCTTGAGCTCCAACTCAGCACAATAAAGGCTTTAAATTTAATAGTTCGGCCTCAGCCTTGAGCTCCAACTCAACCCAGTGAAGGGCTTCAAGATTAAAGCTTGACCTCGGCCTTGAGCTTCAACTCAGCCCTAGCCTTATCTTCAGGGTCCGAGATCAAAATGGAGACAGAAAATGAGAGATGTGATCCTAATAAAAGGATCACACCCCAATCTGAGATAAAAATGAAGACAGAATCAGAGAGATGTGATTCTAGTAAAAAGATCACACCCCAATCCGAGAAGACGAATTTGGAGAGATCGTGATCCTGGAAAACCATCACATCCCAATTAGAGATAAAAGAAAAATTGAGGCGGCGGCCCAACAGGCCAGCCTCAAATTAAAGATCCACCGTAAATGAAGCGGGGTTCAAAATAAGAAAACCACGGCGTAAGAAGCCGGGTTCAGATAAAAAGTCCACCGCTAATGAAGCGTGGCTCAAAGTAGAAAGCCACGGTATGCGAAGCCGGGCTCAAACAAAACTGGCAAAAAGTCTAGTCCAACAGTAAAGCCACGGTACTTTAAGCCGGGCTAAAATCAGAAAGGCAACGATGCTGCCTTCAAAAGTGTAGACAAGGCAAAAGCCGAGTCAATTTAAAGAAAGCCATCGCAAATGAAGCGGGGCTCAAAATAAAAGCCTCGGTATACGTATTCGGGCTTAAAATGGAGGAGGAGAACTCCTCCTTCAAGAATCCAAGACTATGGAAAAAGAAGCCAAGTCCATCAAAAACAAGAGAAATCATGATATTCGAAGCCGGATTAATGGTTCAAGAAGGCACGAAAGACCTTCCCAAAATTAACATTCGCAGCAAGTCAAATCCAGAATGGGAAAATGGTAGTAAGAAAATTCATGCTCCCTAAAGTACAATACACCTTTGCAAAAGGTGAAGTCCATGCTAATAAAGACCTCGGTATGCGAAACCGAGCCAAATCTGGAACCACGACACTTAACGCCAGGAAGTGCAAAGTCGGGTTAATTATTAAGGAGGCATGAAAAGCCATCCTAAACTTAGGCGAACGCCTATATAAAAGACTGACTATAAGCCTAGTCAAAACTAAAAAACCTCGGCAAGAGAAGCCGAGCTCAAAGTCAACAAACTCACCACTCAGAGACTTCAAGAGAAAAGAAGCCAATATAAAAAGCTAAAACCAGAAGAGGTAGTCACACCAGACCCAAGGCAGGATCATAGTACCTCGGTAGGGTCGACTTATCAATCAAACTTAGGCACCCCAGCAGTCCGAGCTTCCGAACTGCCGGGCTGGGGGGCAACTGTTATGGAATATTTCCATATCCTAACCACCTACCCAAGGATCCCTTAAAGGATAAATCTCCAATTATCCTAACAATATAAAACAGTAAGGCAGCTAAGGATAGAGTCCCTATCCCAACAGAAAGGAAGTTAAATCCTACTACAACTGGGAGATCTACACAAGCCCAAGAGGTAACCCTTATAAATAAGAGGTTAAAGACCCCAGGTATACACTTTTAACCTATTTACTAATACTGCCAACACTGTGCACACACCCACGTCTTGGCTATAAGCCTATTACTTGTGCGCAGTGATTGAGACATCGGCTATAAGCCAAGTATACATCAGTTTATACAATATCTCTGAGCGCATACCATATGGTATAGCAATACTGACTTTCTAGGACCGAACATTTACAAACTCTTACAAACTACACTACGTAGGACCGGTCCTACATTAACCACACAGTATACGACCGGTCCTACATTAGTATAATTGCAAAAAAAATTTGTAAACGGATCATGTACCTTGTTTTTATCCCCCTCCCCCCCCCCCCGCGCGCGCGCTAAATATAGTGGTGTAAAAATGTTATGAATAATATGACATTAAAGAAACATTTTTCTTAATACATACGCTATTTTTTTTTAACCACTTTCATACACCTTTTTTTTAATAGATTTCTAAACCCACTAATATGTGGTGAATCTGTGTATGTGCCGGAATTAAACTAGACTTACAAGTCTATTAGAAAAATTTCACTCGCAACAATACGTACAACAGTTTTTAATCCAAAATTTTATGACATTAAATTTATGAATTATTAATTCATTCTTACTCAGATATAAGACTTTATTACTTACACGATCAAATCTTTCACATTGAAAACATTGGGAAACAAAATTAATACATCAATACACAGGAAAAAAATTATAACGTAGCGAAATTTACTTTGCTCCTTTATATTTTGAAATGTGATAACCCATATATAATAAATGAAAAATATGTGGCAGATGCACAGTGAAAGCTTGGTTAGGAGTTAGCCACGGGTTGCTTGTCCACACAAGCATGAAAAAATCTCTGCAAGTGAGCCAAACCAATTGTTGCCGTGCCCTGATGCCCTGTTTTCTCTCTGTGTCCCAATATTTTCCCTTGAACTAATGGATCGATGTGGGGCAATGGAGCCACTCACAAATAATGAATTTGGCTCGGCAATGGTTTGAGTCAATGGAAACTCATCATGAAGAGGGGTTTGATTCTTTCTGTTTTTATTAGCAGTTTTTCTTTCCAGAGCAAGAAATTGACCAAGGGATGAAGGATTGTTCTCAGCATGAGGATCTCTACTCCTTAAGCACAGACATAACAACCATGAGCTGGGATTAGACTTCTTGCTCTTCAAGACTTGTGTTTTTGCTCTTCTTAGTGATCTTCTAGATAGCTCTAAAATGCTGGAAACACCTATAAGGCTCCCAAACGTGATGCTATTGTCTTGGAAAAAAGACTCAGTGGACTGAATGAAAAAAGGCAGGATTTTAGCACCAAAGTAATCCATGACATATGCATCTGATCATATATAGGTTGCATGCTTAATTAATTTGTGGAAATTAAAACTCACCCGAGACATTATTGCTAAACTACTATAATAATATATGTTAATTTTCAATTCATTTTTAAGAAGATTATTAATCATTATATAATAATGTAAAAACAGATAAGAAACAACATTAACAACGTAAAAAATTTGTATGCTGACATTTAAATCTAATAAATAAGCTAGCACACTTTGATGTTCTTCCTATTTTATTATAATGACCCGAATAAGCTAGCGGTGGAGGCATGTGGCAGTAGCCATCGCGAGATATTTCAATGGATTTATCGCTTCGTTATTAGCATGATTCGGGACAGATATTAGGATTAAGACTTTTAATCCTTTTCAAAAATGATACTGAAAAGAATGGAACACATGAACTCCACCTGCTCAGTTCCCTAGCGCTAATTGTGATCTACCATCATTTGGTAGTAGCCAACGGACTATAAATATGCCATGGTGAGTACTGATGTTTTCATATTTAGAGTTTTTGTTCTTAGCAACTTTTACGATACTCGCTTTAGTCCCTAGCAAATAAAAAGGCTATTCGCGGTCCCTAAGAACTTCGAAGTGGATCCATTTTAGTCCTTTTTAGAGACTAATACGGGTCTTTTTTGAATTTGGGACCACGATTTTAATTAAATGAGTCTATTTTGAATTTCTTAAGATCACGAATAACCTTCTTATTTGCCAGGGACTAAAGTGAACATTGCGAAATTTATTGAGTAATAGAAAAGATATTTACTCTCGTATTTATGTAGAAAATTATTATCATATTTGAAGTACTAACGATCTGATTAACTAAGCCATAACAAATGCATGCATTTGCAGTAAAGGACAAGTTCAAAGAGACGAAAATGGAGATATATTCTATTCTAATCGTGTCAGCATATCACATGACCTCTCTCAGTAATTGCTACAGAGACAGAAACAGGGCTCGTAGTCGTTGGCACTCCTGGTATAATGGTATTCTGGTACTGCAGATGCGCATGTATGTATCATATATAACCCCAAAAGAAAACAACAAAAAAACCAAAAGTTACGTAACTTTTTACTGACCTGTGTGTCTAAATTTGATGATGAAGAATCTGTGGAAGAAGATGGGGAACCAGAAAGTAACGTGTTAAATGACATTGACCCCGAATTTTTACGTTTTCTTGCCATCCCAATCCTCGCATTCAGTGGCTGTAAACCCAGAGGCCAGCCTTCAACCTGTATAACATCAATCAAAGAGAAGAAAAGGTTTACAGAAAACTCCAACTTCGTTAGAAACAACGATATAACGATCAAAAAAATGCAGACCCACAACCTTAGCAATTATAAGAAAAAAACATAGACCCACCACTAAAATAGCAGAGGAAAAAATAAAAAATGCATCCATAGGAAGATTCGAGATGAAAATTCCAAAAATGAATAAGGGCAATTGAAAAGAGTACCTGTTGAGACATGTTTTGCTCAGTGCTTGCGATGTAGTTTTACAATATATTTTCAGCCGAAGGCCACCTCAGATGTCAGATTCCACTGCAGGAATCGTCATTTTCCCTTGGTTTTGTGCTCCAAGTAGAAACTGAAGGTTTTGTCTATGAAGAACAGTGAAAAGGGTAACTTTACTTTCACATAAAAGAGATAGAGAGGTCCGTAGGCAAAACCGTTGTCTAAATTTTTTTTTTGAGTAAATACAAATTTTAGGATGCCGCACAAATAAAGAAGCTATTTGTAATCAGTAAGAAATTCGAAATATATTTATTTAGTTGAAATCATAATTTCTCATAAATTTAAAAAAAAATCCACTTTAATCATGTAAAAGAATTAAATTGGATTCACTTTGAATTTTTTAGAGATCACAAATAGTCTTTTTATTTACTAAAGATTAAAGTGAGTATCGTACAATTTGCTCATGACCGAAAATAGTATTTACATTTTCCTTTTCTTCGTTTCGGTAAGCTAACTGTTGTCTAATTTAATAATGATGTTATTTTTACACAATATTTTCTCAACTTATATTTTAAACCTTTTTTATATTTCTCTATATATTTTTGAATATTATCCGTCCATTAGTCCGATTCGAATAGGATATAATGAATTTACTTATTGTTGCTAAGGATTTAAACTTGAAACCAGTTATTAACTTAGAATAATTTCTTACTAGTTCTATCTTTCTTATTTAAATAAAAAAGTGTAAAGTAAAATTATAAAAAAAACCAAACGTTAAAATATGATCATTACTACTAATTAAAACAAGAGAGCGAGTGGAAAAAGAATACGCATATATAATGATTGAGAATGTTTATCATCAACAGAAATTGTCGACTTTTTCTTTGGTTCCGTTGACTAGAAAAAGAAACACAATTATTATGTCTTCACTAATTGCTAAAGGCTCATGTTAAAAACTCGTTCAATATCACTCGGGTGCCCTCGTTCTAGGAATGACAATTCAATGCTCTTTCTATTTTCGAGCAAGATTACATAAAACTAGAACTCAGCATGTAACCACAAAATAAGAGAAACACTTACGCAAGCCTTCATCCTTCATCCAAAGCTGCACGTGTTTATTTAAGTATTGGACAAGAGACATTTTTTTCCCCCTCTTTAATTTGGAGAGTGGAGAAGGACCTATTCACTTAATGGGTAGAAGGGGAAAAAGATGATGTCGAGGGTATTCTTTTTTTTTTTTTTTTGATAGCGAGCAAAAGTGCCTCAGTAATTTGTGAACGATTCATAGTGAGCAAGGATCCTATGAAAAGTGCTGAAAGGAGAAATTTTTTTGAGTTTTGTTATAAAGACAATCACAAATGTCCACTTTTACTTTAACAAAAGCACTACACTGTTTCTGCAGACTACATGCACACTGAAATTGGTCCAATGGCCCTTGTAATTAATGAAAATGATTTTCTGTAACCAATTGGATATATAGGCTCCCATTATGTCAATAATAATCAATTTCAAAACCAATAAACAAAAGTCAATTATCTATCTTTCGGCTGGCACAGGGGGCGTTTGGTTGAGGAGAAATTTTTTGAATACTAGAAAAATACAATTGATAGGAAAATGGTAAGAAATTGAGATAGATAGGAAAATGTAAAAAAAAAATTGTTTGGTGGAAAAAAATTTTACTGAAAAAATTAGGTAACTTTTAAAAAATGTATGTTTGGTTGGAGGTATGATATAGATGGGAAAATAATCTGAAATAACAAAAATATCCCTGAGTTTAAATGTTTTGTTTCGCTAGCATGGTACAACTGAGTTCAAAAATTAGCCTTTTTGTATAGCATATTGTTGGTTATGGTTTCAGAGAGTATAAATGGGTGTCCAAAAAGTGTAGCAACAGTAGCATACTCGGTTTTCATAAAAAACCACCCTCAATTTTGCTTTCTAAACAGTGCAGGTACATGGATTTCTCAGGCAAAGTTGGGAAAGCTATGCAAATTACATAGATAGGAATTTGAAGAAAATCTGTTAAAACAAACGTTGCTTTTCTAAAAACTTGACTTCATATAGATGGAAAAATGTTGAAAAGATCTGAACCAAACACCACCTAAAGTTTAATCGTTTAAGATGCTCCAACGGCACATTTGAAAAAGACAAAAAGGTAATTCAATGACCCAGTTTATTGATAAATTTGTTTGACTAATTGACTTTGATTGATCTTAATTTCTTCTCCGTTGTTAAGCTGTTCTGCCCGTTTCTCTGAAAATAAATTTGCAGCAATATATTTTGTAAAGTTTTATGGTGTATTATATTTTGTTGATTTTAAATTTTATGTGAACTAACATGGTCACATATTAAAATTTGTATTAATGGAATATCAAATATTATAAGGAATTTATTAGTATAACTTCTTTGTGGTTTATTTTGTCATTAGATAAATATAAACACTTAAGTTTGTGTTGATTAGTAAGTTTTATGATGAATTTTTCATGATAAAAAATATAACTCATATTGGCTTATATTTTCACTTCATATATACCATCCTTGCATTATTGAGATTGTATGATTTTACTCTATGCATATAAAGAATGGAAATGGTTTCTCTCATTCATATACACATGAATGTAATTCTCATGCTTTAGCAGGCGTGAGTTCTTTATCATTGTCAAGTAATTCTATGATTTCAAACTAATTATTATTTATATGTGTGCAATAAATTGAGGCTGAAGTCCGATCAATGAATTTTTTTTCTAATGGGCCTAGAATTTCTAGCAGATTTGCCCCCAGTTGATAGACTTCAAAGCAACTATGCATAGCCCGTAGTAGTTTATAGCCGAAGTTAACTTTTAAAATATTGTTTGATTCATAAAGGAATAAAAGCGAATAAGTTACATCTGTTTATGCACAATTACTTGTAATTTGCAAACATATTATTCAAATTCGTGCATGATGACCGATTCTGATTAATCTATGGAAGTATACGTAGGATTGCAGGGTCTGTGAATCTGTCCCCACACAAATTAAACTCTAACATCGTATATATATCATAATTAGTTTGCATCCAAATGACACAAGTAGAGTTTGATGCTTTCAATTGCAAAATGTCACAACTGGGAATCTGCTACATCTGTCTGGATTCTCTCTCGTTACTTTGGTCGCATGGTGGGCCTTGTCGGATCCAGAAAAAGGCCCAAAACCCAAAAAGAATTGGACCGAAATTATACCCAGTGCTATACTTAGCAAAGAGCCCACTTGGCCTGGGCTGTTGCTGTGAGCCTATGCGTGCAAGATTTTGTTTTATTGGTCAACTATGCGTACAAGAGAGACTTAAGTAAAAGGATAACAAACAGAGACAAATAAACATAAACATTTAAGGGAAAAATATTTATTATATTACAGGAGATAAAATTATTTTTAATTTAAAATAATATCATTTTGAATTGTAAGATTAAAAGATTATAATAATAAAGACTAATATAACTCTAATAAATTAGAATTATAAAAATACTTTAATTTTCGTCACAAAACGAGGTTATTTTATGTTCATTATACAAGAAAAATTAGAATTACAAAAATATCTCATCTCCATTCGTAAAAATCCTTTACCCAACATTCAAATGGATAACAAACACAAACAAGATTTTTTTTTATTAAATATTAAGAGAATTTATTAGAAAATATTTTACGAAGAGATAGCAAAAGTAAAAGGATTTATATTAGGAAAAAGTTATATTTACAAACTTTTTGTTTACAAACTCTTACAAATTACATTATCACTATGTCTGACCGGTCATATTTCAATTAAGAATGTATAACGAGTCATACATAATGTAATTTGCAAAAAAAATTTATAAACGGATTCACCCCTCTATATTAATTAAACTGTTGAGGCTGTAGATAAATAACAAACACAGACTAACAGAAACAACACAAACCAAAACGCAGTGTAACTCAAGGTTTTAAAACATCTCAGTTGTGGTATTATATCGGTTGATATTGACCCGAATTAAACCGTAAGAGCTGGAAACGCAATTCAAAACCCTTATACTACTGTTTTGAATTGATACATGAAAATCATCGACGCTAGATGACAATACTTATTACTGAAGTGATGACCCGAAGGGTTGTTGTTAATATTAACAACAACCCTTCGGGTCAAAACCGCCTAGTTTCTATCGTTTCCTTGCAATTGCAGCATTCCATCCCTTAGAAGATAGCGTTGTCCTGTCCAGTGTCTATTTCACACATTCCTTTTTTCTTTCTCTTCTTTGTTACGCTGCACATGTCAGTTTTTCACTTTCTTCTAAGTTAAGTTGCATCAACTATTTTATTTGCAGAAGAGAAAGTGCATATTGGTTTATTATTGGATATCACTTTGTGTACAACTCCAACCCTTACAATTTCATCGAATCAGAATACTAAACTAGGGCATCACATTCAACCATTTTGGCTTTTGCACAAAACAAAGAACCACTTCTGTAAGTTCTAAAATAAACACCCAAAAATCGAAAGTTCCTTACATGCCCCAACACCTCAAACCTTAACTAAGGCCTAAAATTCCATGCTAATTCCTATATTCAATCCACTCCTCTTTGCACCAATTTTAACTCAAAAAAATACTTCCAACAAACCTATAGTCATAAACCATCACTGCCGTCGTCTAACCAACACGCTACCACCATTGCCTAGCTAGTAGCCACAATGCAAAATTGCACAAAGAAGGAATAGTGAAAACATAGACTTCGAAGCACCCTAAAAATTGGCCTATGTTTTTATGTTCCGCTTATAATCATTGTGAAACCCCCCCTCACCCCTAAAAAAAGTAAAAAATATTAAACCATTAAGTGTGGAGCAATGAAAATGGACAAAGAGGGAGAGCGAAGTATGACAAGAGCAAATAAAGCAAACTCTATCTTAAGTGTGTTTAGATAAAGGGTTCTGACGAAATAATGTATTTTTTAGAGGAATTAAAATAATTTTGTAAAGAACCAATTCAACCTTCCATAGTATCAAAGCTCGTTGTTTAGGGTTCAATCTTCACTGTCCCCGATTTTCTTTGTGAAATTTCTTAACACAGATAAATTGGGCTTGATACATCATTCACCTAGTGTGTGTTAAAGAAGTATATAAACAATTGATGAATTCTCACTTAACAGCTTAATTTTTTTTTGGTTGAATTAGTTATTTATAGATTTATTATATGACATATCTTGTTTGGACATTTGATTCCGAAAATTTTAAAATTATGGAACAATTTATCAGGCATTGAGTTTTAAGAAAAAAGAGAGGAAATATATAAAAATAACGAGTGAAGAGGAGAATTGTGTTACCTACATTCCCCTCTCTCTCCCGTTTGCGTCATTCTCTTGATCGCTCGACTATCCACATGAGTCAAGCTCTCACTGCGCCAATCTACTATTTTTTTTTTCTTCCGGCGAGCTTTTGAAGTTTCAAGCTATGGGAATGTCTCTCACTGTTTAGGGAGTTTTAGGTACGATTTGGTCATGCTATTCCTGCCTTGTTCATATTTCTCTACCCCTATTGTTTTTGGGTTTTATTAATCTTCTTCCACATAAGATAGTTATCTTATGTGGTAGAGAGAAAATGAGTGGGTCCCATTATTGTAAGAAAAAAGAAAAAGAAAAAAAAGTAGGGTGCGAAAATCGAAGTGAGAGAAAATGAGATAAGTTACCTCATGTGAAAGGAGAGTAATATTTCCCATTGTTTTTCACCAATTTTTTTTTTCAGGGAGCTCTTAATTGCTTTCGTAGCGGTGGGACAGTTGTTGAATGTAGGTTTCACACCTTTTATGATGATTTTCTCTAGTTCGGTGAAGATTTTCTTCTCTTGCTGGCTGCAAAGTTTGCAAAACTGATATCTTCTCCATTTTTTCCTACGAAATTTGGCTATTTGCATTCAACAAATATGATGATTTGGACTGTTAATCTTACCAATTTCAAAGAGCCTTCCTTAAGTTGTTGAATTTCAAGACAACTACTACGAAACAATTTTATTTTGTTTTGTTTTGTTTTTCTTTTTCGCAAATGGTAGACGTTGAATTGTCAATTCAATTCCTATGAATTTTAAATTCCATTATATTTTAAAATACTTCATTAAAACACAACTTTAGAGATCACTTTGGAGGAGATAGTCAAACTGCCCCGTTAACAACATTAATTATTTAGAGCGCTTGCTACATCTGCACATTAATTATTTGCCAATAACTTCTAATGGTGGTCTAAGGTGTTTTAAGTTACATAAACCAAACTAAAAACTTTTAAAGTTGTATAGCAACTCAATTATGGGAACTTATAAAATTTGGTTTAATATAAATATTTACAATGTGTGCTAATGTGCGTGCACAAAATATATATATATATGTTATCAAAAAATATATATATATATATATATATATATATATATAATAGAAAAATCTCACAAACTTTGAATTAAAGGGTGAAATTCTTTCATCCATTATCTCGTATATATAATACCAAAAGTTCTGGGCCATCGATTCTTTCTTAAGATATATGAGTCCTTCCACTTATATGGAGCTCACTCACTGGGCCTGGCAGGAGGAGCTCATGGCAGGGAGAGACCACCGTCCATAGGCTAAATGAACAACGACATTAAGTGAGCTTAGACACCACAATCAAACACAAAACCTTAAGGGCTCGTTTGATGGATATGATATGATAGGAATAGAAAGGATATGAGGGCTGGATAAGAGTAAGATATGATATGAGATTGATAAGCTCATATCATATCCTGTGTTTGAAGTGCACTAGATAAGCAACCTGATACGATAATGTTATCTTATCCAATATTTGAGGCAAACGATATAGTGTCATAATAAGATGTAAATAGACAGAAATATCCCTTTAATAGAATTTCATATGATATTTGAAAATTGATTTTTAAACTATTGATTTTTTTACTTATTTACACATTATTTCTTATTTTAAATTATTAAAAATTTAAAAGTCATAATTTTAAATAAATATATTAAAATACATAAATAACTTTCAAAAAATTTAAAAATATTAAAAACTATATCATCACCAAATAAATTGGTGGGGTTAATAAGTTTTAAATTTATTGACAATATTGGTGGCAAGTGGCTAGTGACAGTGGTGGGTGCATGGTGGCGGCGGCAGCAAGTGCGGTGGTTGACCGATTGAATTGGTAAGGATATTAGTTTGTGGGATAGGTGGCAATAGGTGGTGGGGATAACACCGGTGATAATTGGTGACAATTGTGGTGATTGATTGATGCAGTGATGGTTGGTGCCGGTGACCAGTGGCAACAACAGTGATGGTATTAGTTGTTTTGGTGCGATGGTGGTGGCGACATTGACGCTTATGGTGGCTAATTGATGGCGATGAATGGTGTGGTAGTGGTGGCGGTGATAATTGGTGATTGGTGTTTAGGGGTGGTAGTGGTAGCGATGATGATAGTGGTGAGTGAGGGCAATTATAGGGGCTAATCGGTGGTTGTGGTTGGTTGTAGCCGGTGACAATGGTGGCAGCTGGTAGCTCATTGTGATGGCTAATGGTGATGGTGGTGGCGGTAATGAGTGGTTGAGGTGGCTTGGCAGAGGTGACGATGGCCGTTGGATGGTGGCAAAGGTTGACCCTCACGTGCCCAGTAGTGTTCGTAGGGGAATAACATAGGCTATATTTGGAATGAGATGGATGTGGCATTTGCTATCCTATCCTATCCATTCCTAGCCTAAGTACCCCTTAGAACAATTTTTACTATTGCGGACATGATAAAATCAGCCAACAGGATAAGATTATCATATCCTGTTGGTTTACCAAACAATGGTTAAGGGCATGATATGATAACATATCATATCTTATCTTTCTTATAAGTTTGGTGAAAAGGATAAGAATGATAGGATATGTTATCATATTGTGCCCTTATCCATTGTTTAGTAAATCAAAAGGATATAATAACCTTATCATGTTGGCTCATTTTATTATGTCTGAAATATGATAAGTTATCTTAAGGGGAACTCAGGTTAGGAATGGACAAGATAAGATAGCATATGTCACATCCTCCTCATTCCAAATATAGCCCTATACTTTTCCTCTACGAACATTATTGGACACGTGAGGGTCAGCCCTTGCCACCGACACGTTGCCATGAGCTACTAGCCACCACCATTGTCATAAGCTACAACCAACCACCACCACCACTACAGATTAGCCCCCAAATTGCCTCCACTCACCACCATCACCATCGCCACCACCGCCACCACAACTAACCAACCACCTCCCTTAACCACCAAGCACCAACTGTGACTGTCGCCGCTACTACCATCCACCGCCAACAATTAGCCACCACAATTGCCACATGTTTGTGGTGGTGCGGCCACCATGCACCACTATCTATCAATGTCGACGCTGCCTCCACCACCACTTCCACCAACCACCCTTACCTGCCACCATCGCACCATTATTGTTTTCGTTGCCACTGGCCATCGGCACCCCCAACAACTAGGCACCAACCATCACCGCCATTAATCAATCACCATAATTGTCATGGATTACTACCGGTGCGGCGGTGCTATCACCACCACCCATTACCACCTGCCCCATAACTAATACCACCACCAATTTAATAAGTCACCCACCACACTAGCTGATGCTGCCACCACCCACCACGATCACTAGCCACCGGCCACCAATATTAAAACTAAACTTTTAATAATTTAAAAAATTTAAAGTTATTTATGTATTTTAATATTTTATTTAAAGTGACTTATATTTTTTTTTGATAATCTAAAATAAGATATAATGTATAAAAAAGTAAAAAAAAAAGTATGCTATTAAAATATCATATGAAATTCTATTAAAAAGGTTTTTTTTGTTAATTTTTATTCTTATTCAGCCCTCATGCTATTAATTTATATCCTATTATGTTCACCAAACGAATCTTAAGACATTAATTGCATGGTTCTTTTCACTTATATATTGCTCAATCATTTTACTCATAACCAAACGAGCGACTTCACCGTTAGTCAATTGTGCAAGCACCTTTATGTTTTAAGCAACTTGATTACGAAGTTACGGATGCCATGACTAGATCCAGCAAAACGGGCTCGGCTCGGCGGGCCAACCAGCCCAACTCGCCAAACGAAGCGGGGCGGGCTGAGTTTTTCAACCCATTTCAAAAGCGGGACCGACTCAATTTTTGACGGGTTGATGGCGGGCATAGGCGGGCCGAGACGGGTCAGTGTAAAATAGGCTCGGGTTAGCGGACCAACCCGTCTAACCCGCCAAACGAGTCGGCGGGCTGACTCATTTTTTGGCAGGTTGATGGCGGGGCGGGACAAGGCGGGTCGGGGCGGGCTGCCCACTTTGCCACCTCTAGCCATGAGTTGAGAAGTTTGCGATAACGCCTGCTTTTGTTCCTGTTTTGTGTCATTGAAGGGTATATCTTGGGTCCGCATGGGTTTGCGCACTCAACGTGTCGAATCGATTGAGAGCAGGGTATGTTTGCTTCTCTTGAGAAAGTCAATGCACCCCATTTCCATCTCCGAATTATTTCAGCTTCTTAAACAAACAAAGTCAATGCAATGATGCTATATCCGAACCAATAAAAAAGAGAAAGAGAATATAAGTGACTGTCAGAGTCACCAATTAGTTTTAGAATCCAAAGACCTAATTCCCTTCCTTACCCTAATGCTATCCATCAATTGAAATCAGATTCTACCTTCCCCTTTTCATCTTCAAAACGAGATGCAGAGAGATCCTATATCTATTTCATCATATACAAATTAATTAAGGGTAACCAAAAAAATTAAAATTTATAGTTAAAGTACATCAGGCTTGAAATTTAAAGGTATATCCAATGAAGACCACCATGTGTAGTAGTGAAATAGAATAAAAGTATATTTCTTATATAGGTGTTAAAAGATGCAAGCCACCATTTAAATTAAATTAAAGGAAAATGTCTACAACCCAAACCATCTAAGTAGAGTTACGTAATAGTTAATGAACAAGAAACAGATTTTTATGGCTCAATCCATCCACTCCTATATTTTGTAGCTAGCCACCGTACGTGCTTATCATTCCGTGAACAGTTTGACCTTTTTATTCTCACCGCCATCGCCAAGATCCACCGAAAACGGAGTGGGAAACAAAGATTCAATCTCTTGGGACAGATCAAGTACAATTCGGCGGCGATAAGCTTTTCGTTTCGTGGATGGCAACGTTTTTGGCTTTCTGGGTGCAGGAGGGCACGGCAGGATCGCTGGAATTTTGTGTTCCGAAGTTGTTGGAGTCTTGAACCCGTCGTTTGAATCTTCTTTCTCTCTCTCCACCTCCTTGTAAGACGGAATCTTGAGCTTCAAACCCAAAGGTTCCTCGGGCAGAACTGGAACAGTAATAGCGTTTTGTTGCTGCTGCTTCTGATCTTGACGTTGACGATCTTCATGATCTTGGTCTTGGTCACGTTCTTGCACGAGTTCTTGTTTCCTAACCAACGAACAGAGTCTCGGATCATGTTTCTCAGGGAGAAACACTTCAAGATTTGAGGAGATACCCATGAAGCAAAACGACAAGAATCAAGAAAACGTAATACTAATTAAGGGATGATGGATGGGAATTTGAAATTAAAGAAAATTAGTTAACACAAGGTAGTGGATGAAGCTAGCTGGAGAGATGAGAATCCTAGAAAGAACTAGGATTTCTTGCTAGTACTTGACTTTGTTCATGTGGGTGCTTATGAGTTATATGAGAGAGAGAAGGTGGTGGAGGTGGAGAATGGAAAGGAAAGAGAGGCTTTGAATCATGCACCCACTTTGGCGAAGGATCCAATGCAAGCAAATTGTGTCTATTTCCCTCTATATAAAGGACTAATATCGCCCAAGCAATTCGCTTTTTTCTCAACTCTGATTTATACGAACTTTGATGCATCTATGCACGTGGTTGACTACAGAAAACCCTCTGATATTAACGTGCATGCTACTTTTCGCTGACCAATATTCTCCTCACTAACTTCTCCCCTATAGAATCAACTTCAACATATCTAATTATTTATTAATTAGTTTTTCTAATAAAAGTTAACAATAAAATATTTTTTTAAATATGGGATAATATTATTGTGTGGACTAATCTTCACCCTTTCTCTTTCCTCTAATGGTCTCTAAGAAAAGTACGTAAAGTAAATACAAAAATAGATAGACATAATATCGTATCCTAAAAAATATATCATAAAATCAATTTTCTAAATATATATTCAAATACATTTTAAAATAAAACTTTATAATCAAAATAAAATTGATACAATTTTTATTTTTTTAAACAAATTATTCCAAATTAACGGGAGTATATTGGATTGGGATTTCAAAGGATTTTAATGAATTATTTTTGGATAAAAAAATCCATTGGTATTCAATTAGGATTTTAAAGAATTGAAAAAAAAAATCACATGATATTCGATAAAGATTTTAAAAGATTATTTTAAAGTCCATCCAATTTCGTTGGTATTCAATCAAGATTTTAAACAATGAAAAAAATAATATTGTGGTATTCAAAAATCTAACGATTTAAATGGATTTTCTAATGGTGTGGATTTCGTGAAACTTTTTAGTGAGAAATGTAAATATAATGCCTCTCTCACAATCTCACCCTAACCCTTAGGATTTCTTGAGATTTCTCTATTGTAGTATTTTATTCTTCCTTTGACAGGTTGACCCGCTCGAAATCAGGTTCCTCAATGGGAGCTTCGTTCAAAAATAACAGATTTTTGAGCGATTTTCATCATAAAATAACTCAGAAACAACAAACAAACAAGATTTTAATATAATATGTCTCAAAACAGCATATTTTTGAGCCATTTTTTTTAGATATTTTGGAAGTTTAAACAATGATTTTTAAAGCTATGGATCGCATTTTTTCTTGGCATAAAAAGATGTGATTTTTATATTAAAAACAACATAAAACAGTGAAAAAATAACATAGGAACTAAAACCCTTAAACCAATTTTCGTTTTACATTAATGGAAAAATATCAATTTAAAAAAAGATTGGAACTTTCATAATATGAACTATATATTTCGTAACAATATATTCATAAACGAAATTCTTTCACTATAGGAAACGATTTCAAATAATTTTTGTGTCAATAGATAACTAAAAACTTATTTTTCAAAAGCCCCAAATCAATTTAAGGTTTCAATGTATCGATTGAAAAAATTTGAGAAATTTTCTAAACTTTCATGTAATATTTAAAACCCAGAAATTCAGATTCAAAATTTTCTCAGAATATTCAATGAAAACATGCATATGATATATGGTTAGAAAACTCTCATCATGTAGAACAAAAATCGCAAAATTTTCAAGATCAATTTCAAAAAATTTCAAACAAAATTTTATCATGAACTTTAGGTTCTATATGCAAATTTAGAATTATTTTAATAATTAAAAAAATTGGGTCTTATATTTACCAAAAAAAATAAAATTGGGACTTATAACCATATATGCATAGCTCTGATACCAAATGAAGAAGATAATTTTCAACTCATTGGTCAAACTCAAGAGCAGGAACGAAAAAATGCTAATGCATGGAGGACTAATATAACTTTAGATATATGGAGAGTTGTTGCTTAATAATTTTGAATGTTTGTTAAAAAATATATTATGTTTTACTGATAGAGAAAATTATAATAAGTTTTACTTTTTTATTAATTTCATTGCATTTCTTTGTTTTTTTATTGACTATTGTAATTTTGAATGTTTGTTAAAAATTTATTTGATTTTTTAAAATCTTATAAATTCTATTAAAATTCTTTAAAATCCAATCTTATGAAATTTTGATTGTAATTTTTTTTTTTTAAAAAGTCTTTAAAGTCCCTCCAATTCTAAATAGTCTTTTTAAATCTATAAGATTTTTTATCTCAAAAAAAGTCTTTTAAAATCCTAATCTAATACACCCCCCTAAATATATATGCACTAAATCACTTAACAACCAAGATACTATAACGTATTAAATAATTACATAAATATTTTTATTATATAATTAATTTTACATTTAAAGTGACAGTATTTCAATCATTTAATGGATTAATTAGTATTGCAAATTTATATTGAAAAAGTGGGATCTAGTTGCCCTATGTTATCTTTTTTTTTAACAATGGTATTTAAATAAAATTAATTAAATAATTGTTAGTTTACACAAGATATTTAAATACATTAAATAAATATGATAATTATCAATGAATATGTTAAAAATAATTAAAATAACACTATCTGAAAAGAAAGAAGGGGATATTTAGTCCATTCGTTTGACGACCAGACAAAAATTACAAGATAAACTTCTCCGAAAAATTTTACATAGAAATTTTCCTGCTTTGTGTAATGTAAGTTATTTGCCCTTATATTTAGAAAAAATACTTTCATAAATTTGATGTTCTCAAGTATATTAATCTATTATATTATTAATTATATATAGTATAGTGGATAATTAAGAATTAGTTATAATAATCTATTAATTACTAATATCAATAGCCTAATATATTCAATTTAAGTACATTAAATTTATGTAAATATATATACTCCTTTGTTTATCAGGATTAATTGAGTAGGGGGATATGTTATTTTCACAAACATGCATCACGGAACTCAGACTCTCATAATTGAGAGATTTTTAATGGTTTTTTTTTTTGTAGACATTTTTTTTTTTAGTTTTAACAACAACCTTTTTCACTCTCTTTTTTTCAGTAATTAAAGTTCAAAATATTTATGTGTAATTTTTGTACATACTTTTGTTCTACATATATATTTTTCTTTGCGTGGGTCAAGCAGGTATCTGAGCCCTAATGATATAGTTGAACATATTGCCATAGATTTCATGGTGTTTTGCACTATATTACAATTAACAATAACTATAAAAAAAATCGCAACTTAAATAATTACTCAGTTTTAATTTTTTGCTATAACAAGCAATGATCATAGGCTAATAGGGTAAGTCTTACGTTATAGAATTTTTATTATTATTATGGATGGCAATCAATTATAATTTTTTTATTTTAATAAGAATGGACTAAATATGATACATTCGGGTGCAATATAAAACCCGATTAACTGAATGATTATTTTGTTTGGACTTGGATATTTATAATAGATGCATATTTAATGTGTAGGCCTAACCCATAAGTGTACAATAGGAAGTGGATTAAACTTAATAAGTTTGGTTTGGTTCTTTCTACATTCACAATCAGTTCACAACTTGCCCTAAATAAAAATGAATAAGGAGTAGTGCACAGGAAGATCATAATCTTTCAAACCTTGTAGGAATATCGGAGTAAGCATAATAACCTTTTGAGATATCAAGAATAATATTTTTAACGGTGTTTAAAAACCCGGCCCGATCGAGGCCAGGGGTCATGGGGTCACGGGTTCAACCGGGGGGGGGGGGTCATGGGGTCACTACACTGACCCAGTTTTATATATTAAAAAAATATAAATATATATATCCTATATTAAAATATTAAAAAACAAACCAACAATCATCAAAAATTCAAAATATACTTAACATAATTCACCAATTACAACCACAAGTCAATATTACACAACTTAATTAAAGTATCAAGATACCAAAGTACAAAACTCATATTCAAATTGGGTCACTACGCTGACCTGATTCTGCCTCTTTTGAAAAGATTCCTAACAAAGGTAAATTTAAAGGAAGTAAGAATGAGTGTTTTTTTCCATCGACGATCGTAAGGTTTTCATTTGAATAGATAAAATTCTTACCTTTTCTAGAAGATTCATGGCAGCGAGGTGAAGATTGAAGACGTCTAGGTCACTAGGAGAGAAGAGAACGATTAGATTTTTAGCTTTGCAAGCATTTTTATTTTATTTTTTAATAAAACGATGTTATTTCGTGGATTTTTTTTTTTAAAAACAAAATGTAGTGATCCTTTGACCTCTCTGACCCGGGAGTCACTGAAACCCGGCCGAGTTTTGGGGGTCGGTGGGGTCGATATGCATATAGGGTCCAACTTGTGACTCCAACCCTCAGAGAGGAGGGGTCAAGGTTGACCGGGTCAACCCGGGGGGTGGGGTGGGGTTTTAAAACACTACTTTAACCAATAAGCATAACCTTTAATGTTCTAATTTCATATAATTCCAATAAATTTTTACTTATACTATATCCATATTTGCTCGATTAAATTGATTTGGCAAGCTATCCAGAGAAATGAAAGCATTACGATAAAATTTTATTCAAGGAGAGCAGTAGAGCACTGCATGCCATAATAAAATTAATTGTAATAAATTTTATAGTTACATCTTGCGAGTGCGAGATATGGTAAAATAATAAAGATATTTTTAGAAAAAGTAAAAGAAGATATCTATCTTTTTATATTATGGTTGGTTTCTTGTTTATACATTGAAGTCAACAATAAAAATTTAAGAAAAAAGTATTGCAAAAACAAAAATCAAAAAACTGTAACATTGAAATTTTTATGAAAAAAATCATCGTCATTTAATCTTTGTCTCGTTAGAAGGTTATTATAATTTTCCCTTGTCACCAATATAAAGGTGCTGAAGCTCAATTACCTGGTGTGGCTATAGTGTTTCTTTAAAATGGGACTATCTATAAAGGAGAAAGCAGATATTGCAATCATTTATTTTCTTGAAAATTCTCCAAAGGAAAAAAAAAAAAATTGACAGTATTGATATCAAACATGGAACCTATTAAATTAAAAGGATATAGGATATTCTACCTACCTCTTTTTCATAATTACTTTATTTATCACTCTTCAACACCGTTAGATTAGAATCTTTATTAACATTTATCATTTTTATCTGTTCTTGAGATTTGAGATTTTGATCTAATAATATTGAAGAACATGAAGCATAGAAAAGAGGTAAAAATTAAATATCAATAACGGTGCAAGCACCGTTATTCCTATGTGAGAGTGAGACTATAGGGGACAGTGACCAAAATGTCACGCTTTGGCAAAAAAATTATCAGAATGCCACGCGAACAGTAAAATTTTTCAAACTGCCACGCGACATAATTCGCTACACAGTGTTGCGAATTATGTATGCAAGTAATTCGCTACACAGTGTAGCAAAATATGCCACGTCAGAATGCACATAACCAAAAAGTGTCATGTGTCAGAATTGTTGAAATTCGCTACATAGTGTAGCGAATTTCAACAATTCTGACACATGACACTGTAGCGAATTTCAACAATTCTGACACATGACACTTTTTGGTTCTGACGTGGCATATTTCGCTACACTGTGTAGCGAATAACTTGCATGCATAATTCGCTATCGCGCGTGACAGTTTGACAAAATTTACTGTTGGCGTGACAGTCTGGGAATTTTTTTGTCCAAACGTGACAAAATAGTCACGGTCCGAGATTATAGAGCCATATCTTATCATCTAGTTGTTAATAATAATAACTAAACTGCATAGTAAACACCCAAGCAGAATCCCAGCATGTCAAATCTAAGCATGCTTTGGTTGTAACGAAATTAGCAGGTGGATTTCACAAATGGGTCCTACTGCCGGCCATTTCTGATGTTGTGGACAATTAGGTTGGCACTGAAGGATTTCGGTTGCACCTAGGATTCCCGAAGTTGAATATGAACCATCAGGGGAAGTTAAGAGATTAGGTAAGTTTCGTTTTTTGGGGGATACCAATGGAAATGATCGATAGGGAACAAAAAAGAAAGAGTGAGAAAAAAGGGTTACTTTCAATTGATATGTTGTGTAATTTGTATTTTAGCTAGTTGGACACTTTTCTCATTATAATTATCATCTCCAGAGATTAAATTGACAGATTGACCATACATAAATTAAAACTAGAGGACCCAACTAGATTGCTTGGATTTCACCACATCTTACAGCATGATATATAAAAGTAACTTATTTTGTGGACCACACTGGCGACTTTTTACTTTCATATACATTATTCCCCTCAACTTAACTTTCGATGTTTACTATCTATCAACTCCACCGGTTTTCACTTGTCATCAACCTTTGCAACTTCAAGACTAGACAAAGCTAATGCTGTTCTTCTTCCTTGTGTTTCCAATTTTCACAAGCAAATAAGAGAACAAAATAAGAGAAAGCTTATTGCCCAAAGTGGAGGAGATAATAATGAGAGCTAACATGTGATAGTGTATGAAAAGCACAACAAGATGGAGTGCGTGTCTAGTTTAGTTAATTCAATCCTTGTACGATTTTCGGTCTGTCAATTTTTTGAGTTTATTAATCAAAACGAGGGGGCAGAGCAAAGTGTAATTTTAATTATGTTAGAGTACTACGACTATCTAAGCCAACAAATTAAGAAACAGAAAAAGGCATGATAATGTGGGGAATGAGCTAGCTAGGGCCAAAGTATATATAAAAGTAAACAAAGCTCAGGCACACACTCTCACAGAACATAATTGCATTGTATCCCATGCTCATGCTTAATGATTTTGCATCCCATTTCAGATCATCATGTCCCCATCCCTAACAATCATGAAACATATCCTTGCAAATATTTCCACAGTCCCGAAATATCTTATTATTATATTTAATATTATTTATTGGACTAGCTTTAGGCATGAAGATTGCATGTATAATATAATATTGAAATATTATATTATATTTGTTGATATTAAAAATTAAATTTTATCATGAAATGTTTGAAGTTAATTAATTTCTTTACTGCTTTTCAATACTTAATATTATAAAAAAAATATTGAAATTCTTTTTTTTTTTGGATAATTGTATATATTGAAATTCATATATGCAGGTTTCGACAACAAACACTAGATAAAGACTATCAACTTTCAAGGAGTAGTTTACATTTTCTGTCTCGTCATAAAAAACAAATAAATAAAAGACTGTCAACTTTCAATTCTGTTATTATTATTGTGTAATGCTAAAGACGGACTCGGTTGCTTAAAACGAATCCAAAGAGAACAAGATGATCATTACAAGAGTTTGGCCCAAATTAGTTTGGGCTTGAATCATTTTCCAATGTCAAATAAGCTTTGATGGATTCTATTACATTGTTTTTTGTTTTGTTTTTTTTTAGTACACACATTGTTTATTTTTAGGTGTATGTTATATGAGAATATTATATGAGATAATTTATCGTGTAACACGTAAAAAAAAATGAGTAAAATCTATTTATTTTCTTTTTCTCTTTTCTCTTTAGTATATTCTACTCATTTTTTTATGCGTTGCATAAAATATTATCATCAAAAATAATATCTCCTACCTCACATTTTATGTCTGATTTCCATGAGAGTATGATTTATATAATTGAATTGTATTAATATAAACGCTTTTGCTTATGTCACTTTCACAATTCCCTTATTCATTTAAAGAAAAGAAGAATAAATTATATGACGTAGTCAATCTTATTAATTTAAAAAATTAAATATGACTTAAATTAAACGAGATATTATGTCATTTACGTGGCACAATTATTGTTCCAATATTTTGTCTGCACTTTTATGTTTTTTTATTTTATTTTATTTTCTTAACGACTAAGGGTATTGATTATGGGAGTGGATCCTCAATTAAAAAAAATGAGAGTGGTTCCTTTAATTAAAATTTTATTGATGTTCAATTATCATTAACGAAGAAAGAGGTAAATATAAAAATTCGATATGACCTAAGAAAATCCATTTCTATTGAGTATTGAGTGATATGCCACATAATTGGATATCCAATCTTGCTTATAGACAATCAATACGACACAAATATTTTTTTTAATTTTTTAAACAATATAAAATTGTCTGATTTCCATCAAAATTACTATATTTTATGGTGGGAGAAACAAAAATGATAGAAAGTGATATTTTTTATTTTGAATATTAAATAAAAAATACTATTTTTAACTAAAATAATGAGAGAAAATAGTTTCTATATTTACCGCAAAAATCATCTCTCTCCCTAGACACGAAATTTTCATTTTTCTCTCGTTAAAATACATTTTCTCTCTTTTAAATTTGATATTTGAGGCAGAGAGATAACTTCTCCAATAAATGCAGAATTATTTTTTTAAATAATTATCTTTTGAAAGGGATAATTTTTTTTTCTTTCTATTTTCCGATTGTAAAATGGCTTCGAAGGGCCATGTTTAATCTTATGTTGCACGACATGGCACGACACTCCGACATGTTAATTTCAAAAAATATTAAATTTCGACATGTTAAGACACATTTTGATATTATATAATATTTTTAATTTATATAATGTATTTTATATTCAGTATTCAATGATTTAACAAAAAAACAAAACTAAATTCATAATACCTATCAATTTTACAAAGAAACATAACACATTCAAAATGTTTATATTAAACTGAGAAATGAATAGAATAGGAGGGTGCAAATAAAGAAATGTAAATTTGGGCGAAGCTATAAAAAGGAGTGTGAGGAGTGGGGTACATTTGAACTTTCACCACACGTTTGATTTGGCAAGAAAAAATAAAGCAAAACAGACTGTAACCGCGGAGCCACAGATCAAATTGGACACGCGTCGAGATGGAATTCAATCTCGGAAAAGGAAAGCGACGGTGGTGATGCGGTTACAGGTATGTGTGGTGGAGGGTAAAGGGTGGATTTTAAAAACTGAAATCCACACAAGAAATAACTTCCGTTCATCATTCAGTTTTTGAACCCAAAGAGCGGGTAGCTGCTGAGATCGGAGAATCCACTTTTCTCTCACCTCTCTCTCTCAACGCCATCGCCATCTCGTTCTTTTCAGGTCACTCTCTCTCCTCTTATCCGTTTGCGTTTGTCTATCTATCTCACATTCTGCTGCTTCGTGTTGGCTGGTTCTAATGCTAACTATTGTCGAATTATGATTGTTATGTTCTTAATGACACGATTTTTTTTTTTGTAAATTTCGTGAAATCCGCATTTCGATGATAGAATCAAAGGAATTTCGCGTTGTTTAATATTATTTGGAAATCTGTTTGGCAGGATCCAACTCTGAAAATGTCAACAAATCATTGATCCTTTCATATCTGATTCTATTTAGATAAGTCTTGTTAAAACCAGATCGAAAAATGAGCTGGTGAAACTTTCAGTTCAATTCAACTGATTCAATATGATATTATTATTAGAATAATTTTACGAGAACAATATAATTCTATTTATTTGCTATCTCATTTTATCACTTTCATTAACGTCGAATCAAATTTAGATCCAATGCCTGCAATCTCTTACTCACATTCTCTATTAATCCAATTGTAACAGAGAAGGTACTTAAATAACTGTTATGGACCCATAAGAGAGGTCCATACTCTATAAAGCCCAAGAAGGGGCAATGAAAAAAGGAAACTAGGACAACTAAAGGAAAGCATTAATCTAGGATACTAATCCTAATACAACATTAAAGGTCCAAATTCCATTACCCACAAATAAATCCTATAAATAAGACATAAAACCTATAGGTATGGACACTCTATTCTCTCCCTACACACACCCCGCTTTGCCTAACGCTGTTATTATCAGTGCACAGTGATCTGCTACACGCAAAGGTATCTAATATATTGATAATAAAGTGATTTAAAATATCAGAGTTATCATTACAGGTTAGTATTAATTTCATGGTTAGACTTTCAATCGGGTTCGTTTTTATTTAGGTTGTATACTTGTATCTATAGTTCTGTAAAACGTTATGTTATAGCCTAATTGATTCTGTGGCCGATTAACAATTTTTGACTTTGCATGTGATATGTCTTTGTATCTGTTCTCAATGTTTGGAGCCATTTTTTTTCAGCTGTTGAAAGATAATGGCAGACGGTGAGGATATTCAGCCACTCGTCTGCGATAATGGGACAGGGATGGTTAAGGTAAGATACTCGGATGCAAAAGGGATTGGCTCGTATTTTTTGCTTGCTGTTTTTCGCGTACATTTGAATGGTACCTTTCAATTTGTATTGATTTATTGTGAGTCTACTGTATTGCATCGTTTAGGCTGGATTTGCTGGAGATGATGCTCCCAGGGCTGTGTTTCCTAGCATTGTTGGTCGTCCACGTCACACAGGTGTGATGGTTGGCATGGGCCAAAAAGATGCATATGTTGGGGATGAAGCTCAGTCCAAGAGAGGTATATTAACGCTGAAATATCCCATTGAGCATGGTATTGTGAACAATTGGGATGACATGGAGAAGATCTGGCACCACACCTTCTACAATGAACTCCGTGTGGCACCCGAAGAGCACCCAGTTCTGCTCACCGAAGCACCTCTCAACCCAAAGGCCAATCGTGAAAAAATGACCCAAATTATGTTTGAGACCTTCAATACCCCCGCCATGTACGTTGCCATCCAGGCTGTTCTATCCCTGTATGCCAGTGGCCGTACAACTGGTTAGTCATTCCTCTAAGAAAATTATTCTGTTGCATCCAGGTTACATTCTAAAAACGTTAAGCTGGCTAGTAAATTTAGACATGCAATGCTCTGTGGAGGGTATCTTTTGGCTTTGTACCCAAGACAAATTCATGACTAAATTGTGATTGAAAACTCTACATCTTTCTAATCTGACTAGAAGTAGTAGATCTGAATTCTCTTACGATGTCTAATTTGGCTGGTTTCCCTTATGCTTTTTATATCAATTTGTGCAGGTATTGTTCTGGACTCTGGAGATGGTGTCAGCCATACTGTCCCCATTTATGAGGGGTATGCCCTCCCTCATGCCATCCTCCGTCTTGACTTAGCAGGGCGCGACCTCACTGATGCCTTGATGAAAATCCTTACTGAACGTGGTTATTCCTTCACTACCACAGCTGAGCGTGAAATTGTAAGGGATGTGAAGGAAAAACTGGCTTATATTGCCCTTGATTATGAGCAAGAACTTGAGACAGCAAAAACTAGCTCTGCTGTTGAGAAGAGCTATGAGCTTCCTGACGGACAGGTCATCACCATTGGTGCTGAGCGTTTCCGATGTCCTGAAGTCCTCTTCCAACCATCCATGATTGGAATGGAAGCTCCAGGCATTCATGAGACCACATACAATTCAATTATGAAGTGTGATGTCGATATTAGGAAGGACTTGTATGGAAACATCGTTCTCAGTGGTGGTTCTACCATGTTCCCTGGCATTGCTGATAGAATGAGCAAGGAAATCTCCGCTTTGGCACCAAGCAGCATGAAGATTAAGGTGGTTGCCCCACCCGAGAGAAAGTACAGTGTCTGGATTGGTGGCTCTATCTTGGCTTCTCTCAGCACTTTCCAACAGGTAAATGTGGTGCTATTATTCTAGGGATAGGATTAACTTACACTTGTGTAAGAATAATAAAACTTACACCAAATTTTAACTGTTGATTTCCGTGTATCTAACGGTTGAGATTTATTGAGAATTAAAAATTAATTAATATGTGAGACCTAATAAATCTTAACCGTTAGATGCAAAAAATCAATGGTTAAGATTTGGTGTAAGACTTATTATTCTTACACTGGTGTAAGATGATCCTGCCCCATTATTCTAATGCTTAATGCACTTGATGATAATTGCATGACTTAGAGATCGCGCATGTGTCTGTCTATCTTTTAGTTCTACTTTCGATCCCCTGATCAAAATCTCCCAATGAATTGAATATATTGCTAGTTGCATCAATTACGTGGGAATACTAATGGTATGACACTCGTGTTTGAAATGCAGATGTGGATTGCAAAGGCAGAGTACGACGAGGCCGGTCCTTCAATTGTACACAGGAAATGCTTCTAAATTCTGCGAGTTCTTTCCTTTCTATTAAAATTTTTGTTGTTGTTAAAACAGTTCACTGGGAGAAAAAGTTGAGTTTGATGGCAGAGTTAATTCTTTCATTTGTTTTGTTTTGTTTTATTATTGGCAATTGTTGAACAGTTGATCTTTTAACTATAAATCAGCGTATTCAATTGATTACTACTTATTGCTTCCCCATATTCTTCTAAATGAGATGGAATACGATCCCCGAATTATATCGTCAATAGAAACATGATTCAGTTCATATTTATAAAAAAAATTATAACAAATTTTTATAACAAAAAGTTTATAAATATAATATTTCCCCAGTTTCATTTTTATTTTTTTTTCTCTAAACTTAAAAAGGACCTTGAATGTTGGAATTTATCTTTTTCTGACCTTGGCTTAGATCATATGAAAATGGATCTTCACACAAAGGGTAGGCACTGTCTTCCTATACACTTAGCAACTAAAGAGTGGTAACACCAGGGCTTTTGGTCCCTTTAATGTTCTACTCAGAACAAAATAATATTCCTCAGTTTTGGACGGCCTGTGACGATGATGGGCCATGCCATTTGTTTGCTTTGGGTGCTTTGTTTGTCACAAAAATAAGGGCCCGCTGGTTTTGCTTCGCTTTTCTTTCCCAGCAAAACATCGCTGTTTTATTTTTTTCGGGTACAGTAAGGCTTGGTTGTATATTAGGCCCTAGTTTCTAAAATAATGAGAGACAAATTATGGTAGCATTTACGCCACACATATTATATATCTACGCAAACTTCTCATAAAAAAAATCAAAATAAAAAAACCACGTAAAATTTATTTTATGAGTTCTATTTCTCTTATGTTGTTGGAGATAAGTATCTCCTACCATAGATACATGAAGTGGTGAGACCCACCATCCATTAAAAAAATGGTGTCACAATTTTTTATGTGACAGGAGCATGAAATAGTTATCTCATCTCATGTAAAATGAGACAATGATTTCCGTTATTTTATATACCACAAATCGATAACATTTCTTTTGTCAAAAACTTCTTTTTAAGACTTCAAAATTGGAAAATATTTTGGACTTATCAATTCTTAACAACTTTAACGAAAAATTCTGGTCGCTAAGTTTCGCAATGTAACATCTTTAATTCTTTATTTTTTTTTATATTTTTACAAATAATGAAGATGTCAAATGTCAAAATTTGTTTTCCGGAATCATTTTTTGGTTAAAGTCCAAAATTTCTAAACCAAAAAATTATGCCTTAATCGTGAAACCATATATATGAGTTCATATATATATATATATATATATATATATATATAAAACATTTCTCAAGCAGCTTGAGATAAATTTATCTCCGGCTATCTCAAAACTACGTCATTTTATTTATTTATTTATTTTCTTATATCAATTGATTCACCTTTGAATGATTGTGATTCCCTTTTTCTCTCTCTTTCTTTATCATCATTGATCTATCTTTGTAAGGTTATGATTTAGTAGCCGGAGATAAGATTATCTCAATCAGCTTGAGAAACGATAAGCCATATATATATATATATATATGGAGAGAGATCATTTGACTCAAGATCCTAACCGTTGATTTTCGTCCATCCAACGGTTATAATTTAGGAAGTTATATTAATTAATTAATTATTAATTATACTATTAATGACAACCGTTGATTTCCGTCCATCAACGGCTGGGATTTGGAGTAAGACTTAAAAGTCTTACTCTGGAGTCAAAAGAACCCTCCCCTATATATATATATATGAAAAATATTTCTCAAGTAACTTGAGATAAGTTTATTTTCGGCCACACTAAAACTACGTCGTTTTGTTTATTTATTTCCTTATATTAATTGATTCACCTTTGAATGGTTGTGATTCCTTTTTCTCTCTCTTCTTTTATCACCATTGATTCATCTTTGTACAGTAATGATTTAGTAGCCGGAGATAAAATTATCTCAAACAGCTTGAGAAATGATAAGTCAATATATATATATATATATATATATATATATATATATATATATATATATATATAGCTTATCCTTTCTCAAGTTACTTGAAATAACTTTATCTTTGGCTATTAATCATAATCATATAAAGATGAATTAATGATGATAAAGGAAGAGAGAAAAAATGAGAATTATAATCATTCAAAGGTGAATCAATTAATATAAGAAAATAAATAAATAAATAAAATGACATAATTTTGGGTGGATAGAGATAAATATATCTCAAACTGCTTGAGAAATATTATATATATATATATATATATGGGGTTTGATTTTCTTATGTTGCATGAGAATTGAATTCTCATGGTGTGACTCAATTAGTGGTGAGCCTCACATTTATTAAAAAGAGAAAAAAAACTTTGCACGAAAATCGAAAGGTCACAACATGAGAAAATATTTTTCCTATATATATATATATACAGGAAAAGTGTTTGTCATTTTAAGAGAGATATAGACACAAAATATTATTTTTTATTTAAAATTTAAATTAAAAAAAACAACCCACTCTTTCTCCCATGATTTCCATTCCTTGTGTATATCTCTTTTCTAAAATGATATAACTTATGTCATTTAAAATGACAAACACCAACCCTAAATATATATATATATATATATATATATATATGGGTCAGGATCATTTTACACCAGTGTAAGTTACACTCTCAATCTTATCCGTTAATTCCATTTATATCTAACGGCTCAAATTTTTTAGTAATGTGAGCCATTAGATAAGTGGATCAACTGTCAAGATTGAGTATAAGACTTCTAACTCTTATGGGGACTAGAGTAAGACTTATAACTCTTACTTTCCATCTCAACCATTGATTTCCGTCCATCTAACGATTATCTATACCAATTAATTAATTATTAATTTTAAATAAATAATAACCGTTAGATGGACGGAAATCAATGGTTGAGATGAGGAGTAAGAGTTGTAAGTCTTACTCTATATATCCCTTCCCTATATATATATATATATATATATATATATATATATATATATATATATATCAATTGAGGGCGATGATGCATGTTTGTCCCCTGTCTTTGTGATTTCCAGACTCTATCCTAATGCAAAGAAATTAGTTATTAGTTAGTGTTTGGTAGGAGAGTTCACAAAAGATACTCATGCATCTGATTTTGGTATTATGTGTAGCTCATGTTTGGTACAGGCCATATGATATTCAAATATTTTCCCAATAAACTTATTTGCCTAGCCTTTGAAAAATGTTTGTAAAATGGGATAAAAAGCACTGTTCTCAATTACCACTTCCAATGTGGTATTTGTAGTTAATCGGACTAAATGGCACAAAGATTAAGAAAATAACACTGTTCTTTGAAGTTGCAACTAGAGTGTTCATCAACCGATTCAAATCGTGGTGACCGAACCGAATAAATCGATAACCGAATAAACAAAAAACTGAAAAAAAAACCCGTAAATTTTAATTGGATTGGATCGGTTTTCAGATTGGTTGATGAAAACCGATCCAATCCAAACTGATCCAATATATTAATTTCTTTCTATCTACTTGGGCCTTTTTTCAATCATAGATTCATAGCCCAAAAATTTCTAAACTCAAGATCCATTAACCAATCAACTAAACTCAAGAAAAAATCTAGTCACATTTCACTAACAAAATTTTATCAGTGTAGAGTTTTATATCTCATTGTACAAAAAAAACTATATTATAGTTTACTGATACTTTTGTATTTCAAAAAAAAAATTGCAAAGTCAATATATATACAGAAGAAGTTATTTGCATAATAATCATGAAACAAATTTTAGGATTTTCAAAAAACAAAAAACGATCCAATCCAAACTGAAAAAATTGGATTGGATCGGATTTGAAAAAAAATTCAAACCGAATGAATGATTACATGATCAAATCAAAGGTATTGAATCAGATAATTTTTGTTTTCAAAACCGATCCAATACAGACTGCGAACACCCCTAGTTGCAACCAATGTTGAAGACACACTCACTTATACATTCACATTCAAAAAATACAAAAGGGTTATTTTAGTTTTTTTAATCCATTCTCCCATCAATATTTTTACTTTAATCAAATATAGACTCAAAAAATTTAATCCAATTTTTTCGATAATATTTTGGTGTTTCAAACATTTTTTTTTTAATTTTTTCACCATATTCCTAATAATTATATGTCCTGATAAAAAAAAATTTACTTCACCAAACGCAAATGCAAACGCCCCCTTAAAGAAATTAAACTTTTGCACTATGGTCATCGTTTTAGAGGGTGTTTGGATTAACTTTTAAAAAAAAGTTACTTTTATGTCCTGCTTATTTTAAAAGTTTCTTATAAAAGTTTAAACTATTTAGATTTTTAAAAAATATTTTTTTTTTTGAAAAAAAATTTGGCTTTTGACTTTTGCTTTTTTTAGAAGTTAAAATTTTTAGCTTCTGGAAAAAGCAAGTTTTTGACTTTTTTTATGACTTCTGTTTTTTTTAAAAGCAGTCATCCAAACGCACCTTACAAAAAAAAGTAACTTTTAACTGAAAAAAAGAGCATCCTTAGACTTCTAGTCTACACACTGACGCAGAGCTTGTTACTGCAATGGGCAACTTCAAATATATAATTTACTAATAACTTTTAGAGTTCGTTTTTTGTCATGTGACATTACTAGAACATTTTCTTGCACACACAAATTAAGTGTGGGTCCCATGCTTAAAAAAAAAGTCAGACCAAAATCAGGATACGACGCCGTATCTTTAAGATACAGAAGCGGATCCTTGTTGCAGGAATGAACAGTGTCATTCCTGCAACATGATTCTTATATTTCCCTAACTTTTAAGAATGATTCAATCTTATAATAAAAATAAAATTTGAATGTGAATTTTAATTTAATTTAATTTTCTTTTATGTTTATTTAAATTAATAAAAATTTAATTATTAAAATAAAATATATTTAAAAGATGATTTAATTTTGTGTTAACAAATTACTTAGACATATGTCTGAAATACTTCAATCAAATTTAAACACCACAAAACTCACTGTCACTTCTATCACCTACCGTTAAATTTGGCGTTTTCTGCCGGTTAGGTTTGAGGTATATTTGTGTCTATGTTAAAGTGTTCTTTATTATAAAGTGCATTAGCTTATAAAATATTAATGTGCGAGTTATATTTTAATAACCATTGTTGTTAAATAATACTATTAATTCCTTGCTATACAAAATTGCAGAACAAAACTAAAGTTCGATATTAAAATATTTTAATAGGAAAAGTGCTAGGTATGTACAAATTAAACATACATAAAGTTACGATTATTAACTTATATATAAAGGAGAGATTATACTTATTATTTCTTTTTTTTATTATTTATTATTACTAAATCTTAATCGTTGATTCTCACAAATTTAATTATTATAATTTATTAAAAATTAATAAGTATTATCCAATAAATTACAATCATTAAATTGACAGAAATCAACGATTAAGATTTAATAATAAAAGATAGTAAGAAAGAGAGATAATAAATATAATATCTCCCTATATATAATGTTAGAAAAAAAAACATATATGTAAAGTTAAACGACAACTAAAATAAAAAATAATTAGGTTCCTCAATATTTCATTTCAAGGTTGGTGGAACAATTTGACATTCATTCCCGCACGTCTCATACTTCGGGGTTTGGAACAAATGACAATTAATTACGCAATGAAGTGGGTATTAGTAATTAGAAAGGACTTCATCATCCGAAGATAGTGGAGGATATTTTCTCAAAACAGCGGCCAGAACTCCTAGATTTTATTTTAATAGACTCATAATTATCTATAATTCTTGCACATCATGAGTATTTCATGTTTTATTGTTAATAGGCTCGAAATTAGTTTCATAATCGTTAAAGTTTGAGGGAATATACAGAAACTCAGTGGCGGAGCCACTTTAGAACCAACAATATCTTGACATTGACTGTTTTTTTTTTTTAAATGGTTGATTTCCTATTTATTTAACTAAGGAAATAACAGCTTCCTCCATAGTTTATATTGACTAAATTTTTTAGAAATTAATGTTTGGCACGGGTTAAAAATTTTGTCCAGTAACCGACTCATATAAAAAAATAATTATTGTAGATATACTAAAAAAAATAATAGTGTCGTTTTTTGTTTTTTTTCATTTTCTATCACAATATAATAATACCTTAATATTAAAAAATCACAAATAAAAATAATAATAACAACAACACGTGTGTTGGACTAGAAAGCGGGGAAAAACATCATTGGATTAAAACAATATTGATGATGTAATAAAATCTTTCAGTTAGTATTGAAGTATGAAAAAACTAATAATTTATGATTTATCTTTAATTCCTATACACCGCACATGACAGACATAACAAGTGAGAGAAGAGAGATACCACACGCCATCGAGTCAGTGCAAAAGTCAAGCTTTACTCTTTGGAGTTTGAGGAGACAATGATCTTTGAGAAATGAAAATTCATCAAAACTCAGTTGAAATTTCCATTCCTATTGCTACACACACTCCTTCTTGTATAATGGAGCTTTTGCATCCTTCACATCTTCCTCACCATGATGCACCTACCCTTCATACTTCATAGCTTCTAACTTTGCACAAGCTGGCTAGTAGTACTTGTCAACCACAGGACCCCATGGAAGAGTATGATGAGAAAGTGCACGTAGCAGTTGGGAAGTCGGTGAAAAAAGCCATGGCTTTGCTTCAATGGAGTTTCACTCAGTTTAGGAACAAACAGATTCACTTACTTCATGTTTACCAACCTTCTACTATGATCCCCACACTATGTAAGTCTGTGTAGTTTTTTTGAATTTGGATTGGGTTTTTCTTTAAACTTTGAAATAGCAATTTAGCTGTGTTTTTTTTTTTTTTTTTTAAGGTTGAAAAATGAAACATAGTATATTTCTTTTTTTATGTGAAATTCTGATTCTATCCCATGAATTAATTCATTTAAAGTTGATACCTTGAACAGTAGGAAAATTGCCAGCATCCAAAGCTAGTCCTGAAGTAGTATCTGCTTTTAGAATAGAGGAAAGAGAACAGACCAAGAGGCTTTTGGAGAAGTACTTGAGCATTTGCCGTTCGGCCAAGGTATGCATGCAGCATGCATATCTTTGCGTGTTTATAGTCACAAACAACAAATACGAAATTATAAGTTATCAATTTGATGCTGATTTCAGCTTGTTCATTTGCATTATTATTGATTTTTCTTAATTCCATTTCTAAATGGAATTTTTTTTTTCTGGCCTTTGGAAAAATTTGTTGGTAAAGCTTTAGAAAAGAAGTGTATGTGAGAGTTGCTCCCGGGAGCCAACTTGAATCTTGGGTGTGACATGATACTGCATTTAGCCACAACTTTTAAATCCTATTTGCTATAATTCTGTTTTCATGTTTTCTACCTTTGGAATATGTGACTAGTTATTACTGAAATTTATTTTTGTTAAAAATGAGCTCATTCTATACTTTATAGAATATGCAATTAGTGGAAAGAAATCAATTATTAGTGGTCTTTGTTAAAGTAATTTCTTATCAGGTTAAAGCAAGCAGTGTCATAGGTGAAGCTGATGAAATCCAGAAAGGAATTGTTGCTTTGGTTATTAAGCATAATAGCAGGAAGCTCGTTATTGGAGCAATACCAGAAAAGTAAGCAATGCATTGACCGTCTACATAATCTTTGTTGAAATTCATATTCTTAATCTATTACTTGAATGGCAAACCAGTATTATGGAACTGTCATAGATTCTTATTTTCCTTTTCATTTTTTTTACCAGGGTCGGGGTATTGTTGTTTTCACCTGCATAGTCAAAGGGAATGATTATGTATGTGTTGAGATATATAGTCCCACAACTAAGGCTACACCAGTGGATCCGACACCATGTTTCAAGCCAAAACCTTAAGGCCTTATAAAGGCCACATTAGTTGCTCATACAACCAATGTAGGACTATATATCTCAACAGTATGCATGTGTAAAACTGTCTTGTCAATATGCATTGAACTTGGCTTATTTGCTTCTTTGTTCCATTCTAGTTAACGGGTTCTTATGGATTGGAAAATTTGATGTTATTCTCTTATCATCTATGTCTATCTTTTGTGTAGAGACTGGAAAATCTATGCCTTCCCCAGCTCTGATAACTTGAAGCATACAATCTACTTCAGTAGTTTCTTTTTTTTGTCCCTTTTCTTTCATAAAAGGGTTGAATAAATCTTTTCTCTTACAAAATCATGATGGAAAAATGCAGTTGCATGAAAGTCAATATGAATTCCAGTACAGCAAATTATGTTGCCAAAAATGCACCCCCTTTCTGTGAAATATGGTTTATCTATAAAGGTAAACACATTTGGACAAGAGAAGCTTCTGAAACTCCTCCTTCTTTGTCTTCATGTGCTCAACCTGAGACCACAACTGCAGAAAGCTTGAGTTGTAGATCTTTTCAATATGGTATGAATGATTTATTCCATTCAGAATGTCTTCAATCAGATTCTACAAGTACAAGGACTACGGTGTGTACTGGAATTGAATTTTGGGTTCAGAGTGAAATCATTGAAACAGAAGCCACTTTTTCATCCAAATCATCCAGTTGTGGCAGTCATTGCTCTCCCCAAAATTCTGCTGGGAGGTATTTAAGTACTCATTCAGAGGTTGAGGAAGAAACAGTTAATAGTCAACTCGTTGGAGCCAAAAGAGAAGCTGATGAAGAAACAGACGAGGCTTTTACAGAGCTGTTGAAGTGCAAAAGGTTGGAAGTGAAAGCCATTGAGGCCATAAATAAAGTAAGCATAACTTAATGATTGAACATCATTTTGAACTTCTGTTCGCAGAGAAGCTTATTCACTTTGTGTTTATTATAAGGAAAGGAGACAAACAAATTCTTGCTTGCCATGTGGGATCAAATATACTTTCTCATATATATAAGAAATTTTGACAAAGTATTACATGAAGATTCTAGAGAGCAACACCATGAACTGATTTTCCCAAATTCACTCTAAAGTGCCCAAATGTATTGTTCAAAAAATTTGTGGACATGACGTTTTGTGATTTAGCTGCATATGACCAAACTAGTAACGAGTGATGATATTTAATGTATAGTATTTTACTGATTTTTTTTTTCATGACTTATGTTCCAATACAAGTTAAATATTCTTTCTTCAGGTCAAATTGCTTGAATCTGCCCATTTACATGAAGTAAAGCTCAGAAAAGAGGTTGAGAATGTACTGAGAGCTACAGTACAGGAGCAACAAAAGTTCTTGGATGAGAAAGAAAGAATTGCTATTGAGCTGCAAAGGACCATGAGAAGTATTGCCCTGCTAGACAGTTGTGCACAGGAAACAAACCATAGGCGAAATGAAGCTGCAGATGAACTATCACTAATTCAAGCATCCATCTCAACCCTGTGGCATGAAAAACAACAGATCAGGCGACAGAGAATGGAAGCCCTACGCTGCCTTGAGCGGTGGAAAAGTCGTGGACAAGTTGGAGCTGCTCACTGCAATGGGGTCATTGGATTTGCTGAAGGATTACCTCAGCTAGCAGAATTTACATTATCAGATCTTCAAAATGCCACATGCAATTTTTCTGAGAGCTTTAAATTTAGGGAGGGTGGATATGGCTCTATTTATAAGGGGGAAATGTTGGGTAGAACTGTTGCTGTAAGGAAGCTTCATCCACATAATATGCAAGGACCAGCAGGGTTTCATCAAGAGGTTAGTTCCCCCATGATGGCCTTTCTGCTTTTGAAGTAGTTATCTTAAAAGCTTTAGGGCTTGAGAGGATCAGAGGCAGAAACATGATTTAGAGCCTTTTGGATTTTTAATTGGTTGAGGGACAACCACAACTCATCTCCTAAACAATCCATTGAATGTAATCAAGATAGATACCATGCTATCTTGTCTTATAAACACTTAAGCAGCTCTAAGTGCAAATCCTGCAAAATGTATATCCTTGGCATAACTTTGGATGTTTTTTTATTTTTATAGTGTTAATAACATATAGTTTGGTGTATATATATGTACTCATTTAGGAAGCTGTAGACTATCCGAAGCAATTTACACAACCATAAATTTTATTCGACATGCAAGACATCTTAAAACACTTCAGTAACATCTAGGAGTTCTTGAAGTATTTTTTCCAAACTGCAGGAACATATTAATAAATGGGAACAAGACACTGATGAGAGTATGCCTTAGCCTTTTTCTTTTCCTTTTACTTTGGCTGTGCAGTGTTTATATTTATTGATGCCTAGTCTATCTCTATCCAACAAATACATCAGACTTTTATGTTTCTTTCTTTCAACATTTGGCATGGCTATATGAAAGAGAACAAATCAATGGTTCTCATTTTTTAGGCTGGTTTTAGTTACAAACATACTTGTATTCTGGGAACTGTGAAGAATACATTTCTGGCTTCTTAAGTTGTTTTAACCTCTAATTTCCCCCATTGTACAAACTTGATGGTGTTAGTTTAGGACATTGATTGAGTTTTGTTTTTAAATAAATTATTTTCTCTTTTTCTTTCTTTCTTTCCTTTGGCTAGATTGTCAAGCATATGTTGTGTTCTTTTTTTTTTCTTTTGGTAAAGAAACATATGATGTGTTTATTTGATCCAACCAATGTTTATGTTTGTGTAACCAGGTTCAGGTTCTTGGTAGTATACAGCACCCTCATCTGTTGACTTTGCTTGGTGTTTGCTCTGAAGCCTGGTCATTTGTATATGAGTACTTGCCCAATGGAAGTGTTCATGACTACATATTTCGAAAAAGCAGTGTTTCCCCTTTGACATGGAAAACCCGAGCACGATGGATTGCTGAAATTGCTACAGCTCTCGGCTTCTTACATTCTTCCAAACCTGAAACTATCATCCATGGTGATCTGAAGCTCGAAACTGTCCTTCTTGATTCTGCACTTAGTTGCAAGATATGTGAATTTGGGTTCAGTAGGCTGGTGAAAGAGGAGTCACTCTATCTTCCTAGTTTCCGATTCAGTAGCACTGAGCCAAATGGTTCCTTTACACACACAGATCCAGAGTTTCAGAGAACAGGAGTACTAACACCTAAGTCTGACATATACTCCTTTGGTTTCATCATTTTGCAACTCCTCACTGGTAGAGCTTCGGTTGGATTAGCTGGTGAAGTACGCAAAGCAGTTTTTTGTGGAAATTTGTTTTCCATTTTAGATTCTTCAGCTGGAGAATGGCATCCTGTTGTGGCAAAACGGTTGGTTGAATTGGGATTGCAGTGCTGTCGTCCAAATAGTAGAGACAGACCAGAGTTAACACCTACTCTAGTGAGGGAATTGAAGCAGTTGCATGTTTCAGAAGAGAGACCCGTGCCATCTTTTTTCTTGTGTCCAATCCTTCAGGTAATTATTCCTTTCTGTTGGTCTTTACGTTACTAGGTTTGTTGGGAAGTAATACTAATGCAGTGTCTCAGATGAAGTACATAACATTGGTCTTTTAAAGGGCTGATGAGCCAACCAGTGCTAATCAGTACCAAAAATGTCTCTTGACCAGTTTTGGCTAGTACCATTTACCTGCTTAGCTAGACAAAAACATAAATCTAACCATGATGTCAACCTGGGCTACTAGGTTTGCTTATCTCTGCAGTGATTGTCACTTAGCATTCTTAATTTCTTAAATTTAAGTGGCAAGAGGACTGAATATAAATTTGGGTGTTGGGCATGAGTTGAAGAGAAACCCTTTTTCGTTTTTACAATATGAAGATAGTTATTGTATTCTGTGTGGCTTATGTTTATTGGATTCCTTCTTCAGGAAATAATGTATGATCCTCAAGTTGCAGCAGATGGATTTACTTATGAAGGGGAGGCCATATGTGAATGGTTGCAAAATAGGCACCAAACTTCTCCCATGACTAATTTAAAATTGAGTCACCTGCATCTTACTCCGAATCATACACTTCGACTTGCTATCCAAGGCTGGCTTTGCAAATCTTGAAGTAGTTTCATTAATTTATGTATGTTGTAAATATCTGCATATCTATTTTTCCATAACTGCATTGCCTTCCTTTAATGTTTTCTAGCTCAAATCATTGTTAAGCATTTAATGATATAAGGTTAATTGGTTTGCTATAGTTTATGCTTTCCTGAATCAGTCAGATACGTTCAGAATGACTTCTTGTACATTCAGAATTGCATTTGGATAGCTTATAGAATTTTGTACGGATGCGTTTTGATACTTTGAATTTTGTTATACATGAATTGCTGAAATAGTGAAATCTTAATAAAATGCTTCAATCTATTGTCTAGAGCTTACTGAAACCTTTAGCATATAAGTAATAAATAAGATGCAAATTTTCCAAATCAACCAATGGTTGTCTATGCCTTTGTAAGACAGTTCTTTGAACATCTCAAACAGGTTATGTGATTGTCATTACAGTGGCTGGGGAATGTTGATTCTCTACGCAGACAAAATATATATACATACATGCCAATATCCGTGTTATTTGTTCAGCAACAAACCGTGACTACTAAGGGGGAGGTTCTGGTAGGAACATAATGGTTACCATAATACGTTCGTCATATATGCTCTTCTACATGGAAAATGCAATAATTGCAAACGACTTGTTTGCTTCATTTAAATCTTCAAATTGCTTCAACACCCTTGTAGTATTCCATCTCTAGCAGAAAGCAGAGAGGCAGTGGCATGCATTTCTGTTGTTGAGTTAAAGGGGTGATCATCTTTTCCTGTGAAGATCCCAAGCCTGGAATCCTCTTCGTCACAGTCCAAAAGTGGTTTGGACTCCCCTTTCAAGCTCCATAGATGAAACTCCTCCTTGCTAGGTTCCATGTTTTCTTTAGAACTTGTTTCAGACTTCTGAAACATTTGATTGTTACCAAGATCATCCTGGTATCTCTTGGTTTCTACACTATCCGGGGACTTGAAAATTCCACCTTGATGGGTAGGAGATTTGACAGTTACTATGTCCACACCATTGTTTGAGCAAGAGGACTGGTTTTCCTGATCTTCATGATTGTTGAAATCTGAATTACATCTTCCGAGTGTGGTTGGCAATGATTTCTCACGTAGAATACCTTGTGCTGGAGTTGACCTTTGACAGAAACTTCCAAAACCTTGAATTCCTCTTGATAACCTTCGAGCATGGTTTCTCTCTTCCTTGAGGAGAGCTCCTTCTTCCAGCAGTTTCATTATCCGCTCTGATTTCTTTCTGACAGTTAAGCCCCAATTGAACCTACAAAAATTCTCAAAATGCCCTTATGATCTTGAATCTCCATTCTCAAGGGTAACAAAATTAATGAGCATAGATTTTAAGTTTGAGAGTTGTCACACAAAAAGAAAAAGAAAAAAGAAAGACATACCCATTGCTATCAATATATTGAAAGCCTTTCATTTGGCTAATAACATCTTTGTCACCCTGAAATTCCTCAGCAACACTTTCTGGTCCATGAGTCAACAAGTGCTCAAGCACGATCAGGGAATTGTATGTGGCCCTCCAATTCTTCTTTTCAAATTTAAGCAATCTATTTTAGAATTGTACCAGTTATTCATCCAGGATTAGTTGAAGCATGCTAAGGAAAAGAAAAAGAAGCATAGAAAACACCTTTTATGCAGAATCTCTACAATCCTCCAATAATCATCTACCTCAAAAGCAGCCCTTGAAATTGATCTGAGCGATGGGGAATCTGGGGCCCATTTATTTCCACTGGTTACCTCTTCTGTCATCCTGCAAAAAAAATAAAAAGATCCTTATATAGGAAAAAGAGAAAAAGTATATAATACAAATACTAGAGCTAGTTTTGTTTATGAAACAGATTGAAGGATAATCAAAATCTTATGATGATATCATAGCAGTGGCAAGCTTACAGCTCTGCAGGGGTGACATCTGTTAGAGCTAATCTAGCAGTCTTGAATTTTTCCTTGAGGAAGAAAGAAGCTTGCTTTTTTAATTCATGGAACAAAGGAGAGCCCATTTTGCTGTTGTTGTTTGTGTTCAACAGGATGGACATATCTGAACTTAAATTCCTCCCTTTGTAACTGAAACTGAGATAAAATGGGGAAAAGAGACACTGGTTTTGGTTTGTGAGTTGGAACAAGTAAAAATAAGATGAGGTCACAAATTACAACTAATCTTTTTTTTTTTTTGAGTTAGCCCCACAAGTCGGAGATAAAAATATTTAAATATCTTTCAAATGTGACATGTGTGCTGAGACCATTTCCTTTCCACTTATCCCATGCTAACCACTGAACTGTCATCCTATGATATTACAACTAATCCTTTTATACAACAAACAAAATTAACACCTTATGTGAGGAGAATAGTTTAATTTAGACGGTACAGTGAAACATGAAGACAAAGTTTGAGTGACATTTGTACTTGGACTTTGGAATTAAGAATTTTAATTTGCTAATGACATTTTGTCAGATTGCCATTTGTTTTAATTCTTTTTGTTTCCCTAGTCTTTGAAATTGTAAATGCGTATGTGAAGGCAAACATCTCGGAAGTCATCACTTGGGACAGCAGGTGGTTCGGTTTGAATTTTGAATTTTATTGCTGACAATTCCAGAGGCAGTATTTAGGTGAAATTCATGGGACTTGAGTGTTTTGGACAAAGCAGTCCAAGTGTGAAAGTCACAATCAATCCGATATACTTTATGAGCATCACACCATTGGAAATTTCTTCAATGCTTTCCTCAGTCCATCCTATGGCACATTCCTCTTAACTTCATAGTTAAAAGAAAATGAATAGATCCATGAAATTTTATATTACCTTATCATAAGAAAATTGTGTTTATGTACAACAGATACTTATTTAATATTTATTAAAAAAATGATAAGGCAATAATCCATTTTTAAATCAAATATATCGTCTTCTTTAAAGGTGTCAAAATAGGTTAAAGTTCACGGGCCAGCTGTAAAGTATTATGTTTGGCCCTAATCCATTAAAGTCTTTTTGTGGAAGGGTTTTTTTTAGTTGTAATCCTCAAAGCATAATTTAGCGGGCTGGCCTGCTGACCAAAATTTTTCTTTAATCAAAATTTTAATTATTTGAAAAAATAAAAATTTTATAAATTTAAATATTTATAAATATAAGTGAAAATAGTTGTGAATTTGATGGAGAATATAAGAGAAAGGAAAATGAAGTGTAAAAAAAACAAAATAAAAAAAGAATAAAATAAGAATAAGTAAGAAGAAAGAGTCCTATATAAGGACATATCTTAGATGCATTTTTAAACATGGAAATCATGAAAAAAATAAAGAGTCATATCTTATGAACCATGTGAAAGGTCAATCATAATCCATGCGAAATGTCATCCATAATCCAAAGGTCATCCATAATATTTTATAATACTCCTTTGGATGTATTTTACAATTCAACACACCATTAGTGTGATGATTGTAGAATATAGCAAAAGTTATGAAAAACAAAGAGTCACGTGTTATGAACCATGTGAAAGTTCATCCATAATATTTCACAACAAAAATAAATTTTTCAGTAATGATATATTTTAACAGAGATTTTCATCTGGCATAAAAATAAATAAATTTTCTATTGACATCTAAGCATTACATCCAAATTTGTATTGAAACATATTGTATACAATGCACTTTAGTAATTTTGTGGATAATAATAACTAATTTTTTTTTGTAACGGTAGTAGTTAAAGAAAATCAATGATTTTACTTTTAAATATATAGCATACTAAGAGCAGTTATTCAATACTGGTATTAAGATAATCTTTTCATCATTACTTTTAGTTTTCCACTATAATTGTTGTATTCTGTTATGACTCCGGGTGAGAAAATATTTATTTGATGGCATCATTTAATAATGAATTTAGTAAAAGTAGTAACTAAATTTCACTTCTATTAAAATTTTGTTTACATTTTCACTTGTATATTTATGTACAAATATTATGTTATTATAAAATTAAATTACAAAAACTTTATAATTTGTATAAAATATGTTAAGAAAGTGTTAAAAATTTATTTGTTAAAATATTATTGAAGGAAAAAGTGTTTGTCATTTTAAATGACATAAAGTTATGTCATTTTAAGAGAGATAGATACAAGAAAATATTTTTTTATTAAAAATTTAAATTAAAAAAAATCCATCCACTTTCTCTCCCATGATTTTCATTCCTTGTGTTTATCTCTCTCTTAAAATGACATAATTTTATTGAGGTTCATTTGACCCTGCAGATTTTTTAACTCTAACTCACACGAGCAAGACCCAAATGGGACAGACTAACCCATTTTGAGAGCTCTAGTCTTCTCTAAAAAAGTTTAAGTCGTTGAGTTTACTAATATTATATGCAATGGTTTATTATGGTCCATGCATAGCCCAGAGGTTAGTGACTTCAAATATCAGCCCAAACTACTTACCAGGTGAATATTTTGGGCTAAGGAATAATGCTCTACTGGGCCAGTCAAAACCGTTATCATATGAAACTTTATTGAATAGACACAAATCACAGAACTTTGTTGAATTAATGTCCTGATTTTCTTCTATAAGTAGCAAGTGAGGTTTGTGGAACCACAACATTTAATGGAGAGATGGATTGCTTCCTCCATCTGTGAAGGAATTGGTTGTGATAAATAGGATAGATCAACAGAGCATGATTGAAAATGCATCGCTGACTTCAAATTTAATGATAATAAAGAGACAGATATTCATTTGATGCATCTGATACCCGCCTCCGCCTGCTGCTGTTGTGCATATTTAATTCTCAGTCAAATGGTAGATAGTAGTTAGAAATTTTAATTAATTTGATGTTTGTAGAAACACCTGCAACATGTCTTTACAAACATTATGAATTTTAGATGCAATGTTTCGAGAGGTTTGAAATCTTTGCTACTAAAAGATGAAGAAAATTTCTTTGGTACTTTTCTTTTCCTTTTTAAGGCATCGATAGCCATTCATAATTAATGGTTAGCATTTATTTACGTGTTTTATTTTAATTTTTAATACAATTTAAATATTCTATTTACTAAAATATAAATATAATATTTATATCTGCTAAAGTGTAGCACATCGTTAAACATTTACCTATACTATAAAAATAAGTGATAAATTTTTTTTCTAAGATGCATACTATTCTTTTATTTATGTTTTAGTCATAATTCAAAAATTTGAATTACTTAAAAAATATGCAAAAGACATAACTATTGGAATTACTCAATATAGTTGAATTCAACCCCCCCAAAAAAATAAAAAAAAATTAACAACGTTTTAAAAAGTTTTCATAAACCGACAGAGACTTTATTTCTCGTTCTGCTGAGAAAACTATGTAAAGAATTTATTTTATGTGATTGCACAGGCGACACGACGTTTTTGGTCAATGAGACTTTTTCAATTTATGGTGGGAATGGCATAAAATGGACACATGCTTAAAACGGTTCTTATAGTTCTCTTCAATCCATTGAACCTGTTCTGAACTAGCATTGCGAGTCCCACATGCTCTCTGATATCAAGATTAAAAATACCTTAATTCAAATATAAATCATAGATAATGGTTTTATCCATTAATACGTTTATGTACACATTTTTAAATCCTAACCTCTTCCTACCGGCTACCGATTCATTCATACCCCACTGATACCATATTGAATATGAATTTTTATGTGCGTTTGGACCAACTTTTTTTTTCAGAAAATTGTTTTTTTAAAATAAGAAAAAAAAAAGACAAAACATAATGCTTTGGGAGACACATTACAAATAGTGCTTAATCCACGTCAAATCGAAAAGGCAGAAACCATATTGTAGGCATTCTCATTTGGAATATGTTATAGCGCATTCTCATTTGCCAACCATAGCTGCAAAGAGTGATGGGGGGTGCTAGTGATAAGATTTTTAAGGAATGACTCTTTATTACAAAAAAATACATTTTTATGTGAGAGTTATAATCAACAAAATCCAGCTTTTACAACTTTACAATCCTCACCACCCACTGAACCTTCGCCAGTATATATCTCATCTTTTTTTTCTTTTTCTTTTTTGTATAATATATGGTTTTTTGGCTATACTTATACACATGATCTCCATATCCTTCCCTCCAAAGAAATAACAATGATGGAAACATCATCATGGTAACGACGCCTATCACCCTGTGGAATTTCGAGCAATTCGTGAAAGTCCAAACCTGAAGATTAAGAAGGCCAAAAAAAAATCAGTAAGATCATAGTTTCAAAAATGAAATTATGAGATCTTTTAAGTGAAATTATTATTAATAATAATACCAGCTTTCTTAGCAGCACGAAATAACACTTCTTCAACCAAATGCTGAGCCGGGTCTCCCTCAGGTTGCAATGTGATGAAAAGCTCAACTTCAGCAACTGCTTCTTCGTTTGACAAGTATTGATAGAGCCCATCGGAGCATAATATCAAAAATTTATCCTTTGGGCCTAATCTGTGGTGTTTTAGATATGGTAGACAGCTTATGTAAGGAGAATTTCCTACATAGTCTATTCTAAACATTTCCAGAAGTGCATTGTTCCACTTGGGCTGCATAACATTCACAAGATAACCACCAATAAGAAAATGCACAATACATGAATGATAAACAAAAGTTGGGGAAAAAATTGTATTAGAAAGCACTACTCAGCTCTATGTGATAGATTTCTGAAGATCCATAGATAATTCATAATTATATAATGAGATTAATATTCCAATTTCTATGAAAAGGAAAGAAGCTACTACTTTGTGATTAATTTTTGCATCCTATGAGAGTGAAACCTAGCTTCAGTTTCATAGCTCATACTAGCAGTAGCAAAATTTTATACATCCAAGTTCCCAGGACTATATAGATATAAGCAATAGATACCAATAAGAAATGTGGAAGCAAGTATAATCCTTTTGTTGAATTCCTTGACATTCATGCTATAGGATGACTTTAAAAGTAGATTACATTTAGATATAACTATAAGCAATAGATACCAACCTGTTTGAGAAATCCAGCACCAAATGCTCGGGTAACCTTGAGAGAACCCTTAACACGATCATTTACTACAGCACAAGTATCATCTGGGTGCTCTTTTTTTATTCTCTGGACTTCCTGGAATTGAAATAAGACATTTATCAATCAAGATGTGCAGAAAAAAACACAAGCCAGCTAAAAGCAGTAATAAAAGTGAGGCAAAAAAAATAAAAGTGAGGCAAAAAACTACTTACTTCTTCAACATTGGTACTATGATCCTTGGTAAGCTGAATTGCACTTAGACTAGGAACCAAGTTTGATGTATCAACATCCCATGATTCAAGATCATTCATTGTCTCTTCATTGATCCTCTCCAAGTCCTGTCTGATTTTCCCAAGCCAATAATCAGGCTCAGCCTTTTGAGCCAGCACAGCTCTACTATCACCTACATTCATCACATAAACATCTTCCCCCTTCATTAACATCACAAGAACACAAGAACCCATCAAAGCAAGTTCAGGATTCTCCCCAACCATCTTATCCGCAACATCAAGATAAGACTCTTCTGTTTTCCTGAGAGCTCGAGAGAGAGCTTCCAAAACATCTGAATGATTAATAGAGTTGGTTCCACCAGAACCAGATCGACTTAGACTTAGCTGTTCCTTCAATCTTCTATCAAGCTCTACTCTTTCACGATCCCATTCACACTTCCACCTCCTTTGATTCTCCTCCCATTTCTTAGCTGCACCTCTATACTTGTTCTTGGAATTCTTACCACTTTTTCTCTTCAACACCACATCCCCACTTGCATACGGACCATTATTCTCTTCTTCAACACAATGAGAACAAGTATCTATTACCAACTTGTCCTCCTTCCCAAAATCACCATCATCGAATGGAATCGAATCTCGCACTTCCAAATTCGAATTCTCTAGAGGAACCCCATCATCCCACAACAAACCCTTCAGTTCCTTATGCACGGCGGTGTATAGATTTGAAAGGAGGTAATCAGGTGCATCAGGACCATTGAAACCATCGTAAATCCCCACGAAAACCCAACCGTGTTCCTCTGAAACTACCACGTGAACACGATCCTCACCTGCTTTCCCCTGAGCCCATTGAAGATTCTGATTTTCCATTGAATCATCGTCTTCCAAACTACCCTCGCTACTCAGATTCACACTGCTCACCGTTAAATTCTCGTTGTGGTGCTTCTCCGCCGCAACGATCCACTCCGGTTCCTTTACCCCACCTTTGATCGGAGCAACAATCGAGTTTTGCCCACGAGACAGAGTCTTCGAAATCGCCCTCCGAAGAATCCGAATCCACCGACCCTTCCTTGTTCTTGGTCTTAAACCAAAACCTAAACCCCCATGCGAGAAGCTTCTTTGAAACTGATCGGAGCTATCCTTTTCCATCGGACCCGAAAACAACCCGCGATCGATTGGACCCGACATGAACCCACGCTCGATTGGACCCGACAAGAACCCTCTCTCCATAGGACCCGAACCCGGAACCCCACCACCCAGATTCCCTGAAAAGGGACCCGAACTCATGAGATTTCTCGGAATCGGTTGCAGAGGAAGCGAAGCAAACGAGGTTGAACTCTCAAAAGCCGCAGCTCTATCGATGCAACCGTAGGAGTACAAGTCCACGAGCGACGTCGAGAGCGGCGTCGACGTGTTCGCGCTCACCGATGCACCGGAGATTGTTCTGAACGTCGTGGTTTCTTCTGAGTGGACCTTCGATGAAGATATCCGGGTCGGGTCGGGTCGAACGTAGCAGAAGGAGTGGCCAAGTCCCTCATCCAGTGGCTCCGTTATAAAAATCGATATGTCCTGCTTCCGGCGACCGCCTCCTCCGTTGCCGGTGAAACACACAGTTAGCTTTCCTATTCCGTTACCCATCGCTACAACAAGAACAAAATCAAAAGAATAGAGGCAAGTTACAAGGTTGCTACAACCCGTTATTCATGGTAGCTTGATGAAGAAGAAGAACTAAACAAGGGAGCGTAAGTGAGAGAGAACCAGATGGTGCAGAAAGAGAAGTTGAAGCTGATAAGAGAAGTAGAAGAAGGAGAGAGAGAAAAGGCGTTGACTTTGGACGTAAGGGTTTTTTTGTAAATAAGAAAACGCACTCGTTTTTTTCTCAATTATTTTTTAAAAAAAGTTAGGAATTTTTTGAGTGGGGGGAGTTGACTGTTTGAAGATAAAGTAAAACTCAAAGGTTTATGTCTTGTTTTAATAAATTATTCAATGTTCAATAACGTTTCTTATAGAGCGTGATATACACGTTCCGATGCAAGTGGATGAGATCCGTGTTGTTTTGTGGAATCGCGACGATTAGGGGCGTTTGATAGAAAAAAAAAAAATTATCTGAGAATTACGATTTTCAAGAATATGATAAGAAGATGAAATTTTTTAAAATATTACAAAAAAATTGTTTGGTAAACTAAAATATTCCCAAAAATGTTGAGTTAATTTTATTGAAACTATGTTTAGTTATATTAAATTTTCTTTTACCATAAAATCTTAGAATACCACCTCCTGAAAAATAAACACACAAAATAAAATTTTGAGAAAATCAGATTTCTAATTTTTTTTTTTAAATCTTGTACTAAACGTGAATAAATATGATTACTACTTTAAATTTTCCAGAAATCCTAAAAAAACTCTTGAGGAGACGTTTGGTACAAGAGAAATTTTTATTTGTCCAGAAATCTTGATTTTTAAAAATATAATTTTTGCATTCAGTTTACGATAATATCTGAAAATTTAAAATTTAAAAAAATTGAGTTTCCCGGGAATCCTCACAATCCCGCGTACCCAACGTTGTAACAAATGCTCCTTAAGCTAATGATTCTGATGTTCTTTCACGCGCTAGTTTAGAGCGTTGTTGTGGTGGTTTCTTGTGCTTGAGAGAAAAGAGGGTGAAATTTAAATGAAGGTCGTAAGTTTTGGTTAAGAATCGAAAAGTCAACACGGAGAAAAAATTAAAAAAAATCGGATCTTGAAAAGCGTGCCACGGTCACCGTTGGATCAAGCGGAGGGTGTAGAAGAAATACAGGGTTGACTAACACGTGGCACTCTTTGATTGCTTGAATGTGATAATTTCTCAACTTGGGGTTTCCCGAGCTCGGGCCAGCTCATAACACTTGGATAGAAGAACAAGAAATTGTCAATAATTTCTGCTCTTTGTTTTAATTGAAATGAGAAAATGGGAAATAGAAAGAGAAGAAAAGGTTGGCTTTTACTTAATTGAATGTGCTGGTGGGGTGGTTCGATATTAGTAATGCTGCCATCACTGCACTGCCTGAATATTTAGGTAATTTGAATAATGTGGATGTAAATGTAGCCCCATTACTCCATTGACTTTTTTTTTATTATTATAGGTTGAATTGAATGTTGACATTTCGAGTGCATTTGATGATGCTTGAGACGAAAGGTATACTCAATTTGTTTATTATAAATGATGATTTTATAAATACTTGCTAAGATTGCAAATATTTTGAATTTTGATGAAAGAATTGAATTTTTTTTTATAGCCAACTGGGTCAGAGCCCAAAAAACAAAAACAAACAAAACAAAGACAGAACACCAAAATAAAAACAGAAGCTACTGGATCACCAGAGCTCGCGATCTTCCCATTCCAGTAAGATCAGTCAGATAAATAATATGAATGTTAGGTGGTGATTCTTCACAAAAAAGATATTGCACATCCTCATCATGTTCCAAGATAAAATTTGTCATCCAATCCGCATAAACATTTCCTTCCCTGAACGTGTGGTTTAAACTAACTGACCAATCTTTCTGAATCCATGCTCGTATCCGATAAATCAACTGACTCTCACGAGCTGCTGCACCTGAGAGGTGAGCACAGTAATAACACAAGTTGAATCACTTTCAATTATAACATTACGGTGACCAGAATTCTAAGCTAATTTCAGCCCGCGAAACACACCCCATAACTCTGCTTTAAAAGAATTACAAATCTCAAGCCCATAAGCAAATCCACCAAGTCATCTCCTTTGAGAATCTCTCATAACCCCACCACAAGCAGCTATGCTATGAGTAAAATTACAATTTGACAAGTCATATTTGAGTAAAGCCTATTTTAGGTCCCTAACAAAAAATACGGTATGCACTTTCATCCGTTACGAAAAAAATCAACTTTTGGTCTCTCTACCATTTTAGTTCTTTGAAAATGTGGTCCCTAAGAAATTCAATGAAGATCCAATTTAATTCCTAAAAAAGGATTGATATTGATTTATTTTTTTTAAAAAATAAAAATGGAGATCATATTTTTTTGCTAGAAATCCAAACAAGACTTTATCCTAGATAATATTCAAATCTTGCAAAATATTTATTAGCATATAAATGTCAATATTGTTTATTTTTCCAGCTAGGCAAGTCGCATTAAGAAATAATTTTAGTGAAAAATTAGTAATAATAACTTACGCTAGAAGATAGGAATAGTTTGTGCTTAACTTCTAGAAGTTTGATAGGACATTATGTTTCAAAGAAAATTCTTACTTTACCAAGTCAGATAATTTATCCTTCAAAGTTATAAACAATTCCTTGATGTTTTGGAGAGAAGATCTACTTCTCTTTTCCATCTCAACCGGTAAAACAGGCTTGACTCGGCAGACTAATCTACCTCACCCACTAAACGAGACGGGGCAGACTAAGTTTTTTAACCCATCTCAAAAGCGGGGCAGGGCAGGGCAGGATGGCCTCATTTTTTGCCGGGTTAATGACGGGTATAGGCGAGCGAGGCAGGTCAGTGTAAAATAGATTCGGGCTGGCCGACGAACTTGCCCAACCCGCTAAAAGGAGGGGGCGAGCCGAGTTTTTCAGCTCATTTTCAAAAACGGGGCGGGCTGACTCATTTTTGGCTGGGCGAGCCACCCACTTTGCCACCTCTACGTATCCCAATCAAAAATTCGCTTATTTTTTTATTTTTTAAATTAACATCGTTTTTCACACTTAGTGAATAACTTGTACGATATAGACTTATGTCCATCTATATTGCACCGACATCAACATAAGATATAGGATACAACACGATACTCAGACACATTAATTCTAAAAAATATTAAATTTTGATATTTTAGAATATGTTTTGATAGTAAATAATATTTTTAATTTATATAGTATATATTATATTTAATATTCAATAATTTTATTATTATTCCCATTAATTTTGAAAAAAAAAACATAAAATGTAAATATTTACTATTATGTTTTCAAATTGAAAATCTCTTAAACACTATAGTGAGATTTATTCGGTATCCATTTTTAATTTTTATTATATCAGTTTGGTAAATCATGGATCAATTTTTAATGATATATAATGAAATTTTAAATATTTTTGATGTCAGAGCGTGTCAAGGTGTTGGGAAGTGTCGGACACGGCACGTTAAATTTTTTAAAGTGTCGGTGCAACATAGGTGCCCATCTTTCATAATAATAAAGACAAAGATAAGGGTCCAAAATCGATTATTAGAAGGACAAATTGTTTCGGTATTATATTAAAAGGTTTAATATTTCTTATGTTGAAGTAGATAATTTTTATTTTTTACACACATATAAAAGTGTACGAGACTCATTTTTTCTTTTTTTCTTTTTTCTTTTCACATGGACCTATGTAGGCCCTATATACTTTAATATATATATATATATATATAAGAAGGAAAAAGTTTTTGTCTTTTTAAATGTCACAACTTGTGTTATTTCACTCTCAAAAAGAGGTGAGACTCACACCTTTATATTTTTTTGTCCACTCTCTTTCTTTCTTTATCTATCTCTTTCTCTCACTTAAAATGACACAACTTTACATCCTTTAAAATGATACACATTTTTCCCATATAAGAAACAAATTTATCTCAAAATATTAAACCTTATATAAAAAACCGCGTGCCATGATGATATTATTCACATCTAATTTTATGAAATTTGTACCTGCGTCATCAAGAAGAAACAGTTACAAAATGTTTTGTCATTGGGGCTCGTCCCTCGAAGCTCTATTTGTTAAAAAATTAATTTGTAATATTTAATTTATGAAGTTTGTAAGTTCATTTTAGAGCTTCTTATAGAGTGAAATTTGAAGTTTGTCATATCATTTTATACTTTTTGACCAACTCAGACATATATATAAATTTTCGCTTCATGTAAATAATGATTACATGTTTACTTTTGCCATGAATCTAACCTTCAAAAACATCATCAACAACAAGTGTTATTATAATATCTCTACTTTAAGAATTTAATTAATTATCTGTAATTAAATAATTAAGCATATATAAGTGAGTAGAATTAAGCAAGAAGTTAAAATTAATGAGTTAAGGGTACTTTTGAGGTGAAAAGTGCAGTCAGTGAGAATTAAGAGGTGAAAGTGTGGATAGATAAAAATACCCAAAATATAAAAGTAAAGTTACAAATATTACTAGAAAAATATTCTAGACCATTTGGTTAAGTTTGGTGGTGAATGGAGATGAATAGGTAGTTACAACTCACTTAACCTATATAAGTGTAAAAACACAAAAGACAGTGCCATCTTCTTTCTTCTTCATCGTGCAACACAGGCAAGGGAGAGAAAAGAGAACATTTGTGTGCACATAGGAAAATGGTGTTTGGTAATAAATAATATAAAAATACTTTTTTTTAAAGCTTTAAGGCAATTCAATTTTCTTGCACATATAAAAATTACGGAACGCATAAAAAAAAATTTATTTAAAAAAAAAAATTGCACAAATTTTTGTGTAACTGTAGCAGGAGAGTAGTTGCTTCCACATCAACATAAGAAAACATTTTTTTTTTGGGTTTATCATCTATCATTTAACATGACCACAAAAAGTTTCCTACACACACAACATTTTGTGGGGCCCGCAGCAAAAAAAAAAAAAAAACTTCGGCACGCAAAACGAATCTCTATAACATAACACAATCACTTTTCCTACAACATAACTCTTATAAAACCCTTTTTTTTTATACATAAATTGTTAGTTATGTGCCATTACTAATTTGCTATTGTCCGAACATATATCTAGAGCGAGAATTCAATGCCATCATAATTAATTATTTGCAAGTGGCAACAAGAC